TGTCTATATTTAGCGAAGTAAGAACTTTTTTAACAAGCTCAGCAAGGAGAAGAGAAGCCGAGAGTTCTAAGCTGGCAAAAGATAGAGTCCTTAAAGGGAGATCTGCTTGCTAGTAACTTTAAACAAGGGTTATCTTGAGTGGCATTTAAGTAGACCACTGCTCCATGCTCAGATGTTGAAGCATTGGAGAAACCATGATAGCCCTTTTATTGGTTGTAGAATGCAGTGAAAATATTCCTATCTTAAGATTTTCCAGTTCCTGAAATGATTCCATTCACTGGCAAATGGTTCAGGTAATTCATTGCCCCAGTTCAGTTTTAAAGACCATAGTTTCTAAAGGAATATTTTTGCTTTAGAGATGACTGGCCCAATAAAGCCAATAGGATCATACAACCACGCAATGACTGAAAGGACATCTATTTTTGTAAAAGATGACTTGCCTTGGAAAGCGACTTTAAAAGTGAAGATGTCGGATTCCAGTTGCCAAATTATGCCAAGAGTTTTCGTAAACTCAGTGGAATCAATGGGAAACTCTTCCTTAGATACTAAAGTATCTAATACACTCTTAGAGTGCCATTTGTGTAAAGACATTCCACAGCTTTCGAATATCTTTGTTACAATAAAAAGTCTTTAATCCGGAATGATCTATAATCCGGACCTCAAAGCTACAAACTTTCTGCGCATATGCGTTTACGCATGCGCATAATAAATACATTTACACATGCTCGTTTAATGTATAACGGACGGTATAAGCTAGGCTAAAATTATCTAATTACCTATTTCAGTTAATGTTGCAGATTTCGTTGTTCCTTAATCTTCTGATCTGGCTTATTATTTTTAAGCCGATCTTTGGATCTGGCTTATTATTTTTTGCAGACTGTTAGAGCAATTTTATAAAAAGTAAGCTTGAACTTTTGATTATGTCAAAAAAAGTTTCTGATTCTGGAGCTGCCGAAGGGTCTACAAAGTTAAAGCATGTTTCTATGTCTATCAAACAAAAAGTGGAATTGCTGCAAAAAATGGATAAAGGCATGAAGAAAGTGACAGTAAGGTTAGTGAACACGAAAAAAATTTCGATTGATAAGTTAGTCGGTATTCTCGGCACAGCAATTACAGGACTTGAACAGCGGAACTTTGTAACTGAACAAGAAATTATGTCTGTTAATAGAATTAAAGAGAAAGTATTAGCACATAAAACGAAGCAACTTAAACAACTTACATTGAAAGAAATGTTTAAATAAAGTAAACAAATAAATATTAAGCTTTTTCTTTTTGCAAATTTTGATACCCTTTAGATCATAATTGTTCTTTATTTCATAAATTACGGTTTCATATTTTTAATTTTAGAATTTCTGCATGCCATCTTACGAGATTTAAACTGATGATCTATAATCCGGAAAAATCGATAATCCGGAATCGCCAAAGTCCCGAGGAGTCCGGATTGAAGACTTTGTACTGTAGTTGATTCTTTAATTCAATAGCAGACTCAAAATCAGAGGCTCCTGTAACTATGTCGTCCATATAGACCCCAGAAATAATCACTTCAGAAGCTAAAGGGTATTTCTGCTGTTCATCCAAAGCTAACTGCTTTAGATTTCTTATAACTAGAAATGGAGCACATTTAGTCCAGTGTTCAATCTAAAAATAATAGGTGAGTCGTCTTCATGCTCTTTCTATAAGATACGTACAGGATTCCTTTGCGATGAATCGATTAAAATCTGTCTAAACATTTGTTTAATGTCTGTGACCAGTGCTGTTTTATGTTTGCAGAATTGAACAATTAAATCAAATATATCTTCTTTAACCTCTCCTGAGAGTAAAATGTTGTTCAGACTCAATCCTGTAGTAGTAGGAGCTGATGTATTAAACACAGTGTGCAATTTCGTAGATGATTTTTCAGGTTTGTAAATTTCATGGTGAAAGGCAGAAAGTAACAGGTGGAGGATTTTCTTCTTTAACCCTTTCCATGTGATTTAAGCTTTCGTAATCGATAAAATCGGTATAAAGCCTTTTTAGGTCTGGGTTTTTATTTAACCTTTTAATCGTCTGATTAAGATGGTTATTAGCAATGTTTCTTGAATCACCTAATTGATGAAGTACTTCTTCTCGAATAGGCATCTGTACTATGAAACGCCCACTCTCATTTCTCCTATGTGTGTTCTGATAATGCAATTCACAAAATTCCTCTTCTACACTTCTAAGGGGTTCGTGGCTATTTCTTCGATTTGCCAAAATTTATGTACACATTCTTGTAGACTTTCTGACTGGGAGATTAGCCCACAGTATTGATGTGAACTTTCAGTTTCAACAAATCCACTAGCAATAAATCCGAAGATTGAAAAGTAAAGTACTATATCTTGGAAAAGTAAAGTACTAGATAATTGAATTTTTTGCTCCTTCACTAATTCGAAAAAACGTTCGGCACCCAATCCGATCCTTCCTGGTTTGACAAAATCTAGATCTGCTAAGTATGTATGCTCAGGTATTTTCAGATTTTCTACATTTATTCTGGTAGAAAGTACAAAATCTGTTATTTTAGGTACAATGATAAAATCTATTACTGAGTTGAAAGAAGAGTCATTATTACTAATAATAACGTCCATTTAATATTTATCGTATTTCCACTTAAACCATTAACAGGAAAATTGACCTTATGTTTGTTAAGACCAAGCGAACTGCGAGGTCATAAAATGCGATTGAGATGCACTATCCAGTATCGCTCTGCTGCTAATATAATCACTCCGAATCGGTGACCAAACCTTAACCATGGCTGTAGAAAGCAAAACTGTTTTATTTGACATTTATTTAAAGATGCAAAAGTCTTTACCACTTCAGTTAAGTTTGGATCTTTTATTACATCGGGCGAACTAGGGTTCTTTTTACTTTGTGTATTATGAGCATCTGCAGTCTCTGAAATGGGAAGATTTTCCGACTGCAAACTTTGCGAAATATCTTGATATCTTGATCTGGCGAAGTTTTTTCACACAAGGAATTTTTAGTTTCAGACCTACATAATAGATAATTGTGCTTTCCTTGGCATAAACAAGAAGAATATTTGGATTTGCATGATGCAAGCTTAAATTTGTCACTTAAACAGTTTATACAAAGTGCATGTTTTTAGCAATATTAAATCTTTGCAATGGAGTCATTTTTTAAAAATAAAGAACAACTATATACCAAATGTGACATTTTACACAATATGCAGGAATTGCTGTTCGACTTTTAACAGGAAATTTCTGGTTTTATTTGTATAAGAAATTTTAATTTTTAGTGACGGTAATTAAACTCCATGTAAATTTTCTAACGTTTTCTAAATAGTCCATGAACCTTCCAAATTGGGGTAATTCAGTCGATGTTAAACTCATTTCATACTGTTTTCTTGTTTCTTTATCTAACTTTTGAGTGACAATATTTATAAGGAATTGATGTGTTAGTTCATTAGCTTCTAATTTCATTAAGTTTAAACCTCTTAGGTTTTTGTTCAAAACATCAACTAGATTTCTAAGACTCTTATAAGATTCAACATGTATTTTCTCAAAATTTAAAATATTCATAATATAAAAATTAACAATCAACCATTTATTTTCATAGCTATAAATTAAAACCTCAAATAAAGACTGAAAACTGTCTCCTGGAGTTTCTACAGCTTTCGCGTCTCCTTTTAATGCAGAGCGCAAATAGAACAATTTTTGAATATCATTTAAAGAAGAGTTATTTGTAACTATCAAATTGTTTTTTTTTTTTTTTTTTTTTTTTTTTTTTAAATTACTCCAGTTCTCAATACAACCATCAAATTCTGGTAAGCTTAAATCAGGTAACTTAATAGAGATAGAATTAGAAGCCTTAATATTATTCGTTAAAGATTTATCAACTAAATCTGAATTTAATAATAATGTTTGTAAGTTTACCTTTATTTCTTCTAAACGGTCTTTCATTTCTTCAAATTCTAAATTTACACTCAATAAATTTTCATCATCAATGACATCATGATATTCCAGTTGCAACGATTCGATCTGAGATAACATGGAAACCATATCCAATTTGATTTGAATCTTGTCAGCATTCAAATTTGAATCTTTCAAAAAAGTTTCCAATTTTGTAATCCTAGTTTTAAAGTTTCCACGGTGTCGATTCAGCACTTTTAGTTTTTCATCAAATGACTGTAGAATTACCTCTACTGTTCAGTTCATCATCTGCATTAGCCATTTTCGTTTTTAATACACGATCAAACTAAAGTTTTTATTGCTTTTAACATTTGAAACAACAATTTATTTAGCCAGTTCCACTCCGGCTTTTAAGGATCACTGTTTTGGACTGTAGCTACGAAATAATGAAACTAATTTTCTTTTAAATCCATCTTTTATTCTATTCGAAAATTAGCAGCCATTCAGGATTTCAAGCAACATATTTCTCATCAAACAAGCTAATAAAAAAAAAAAAAAAAAAATGATATTGACGCATTCACGTTACAAGGACTGTAGCTATGAAATAATGAAACTAATTTTCTTTTAAATCCATCTTTTATTCTATTTGAAAATTAGCAGCCATTCAGGATTTCAAGCAACATATTTCTCATCAAACAAGCTAATTAAAAAAAAAAAAAAAAAAAACCGATATTGACACATTCACGTTACAAGACTTGTTGCTATGCAACTAAGTCAGAGGAGAAAGGTTTCATATTTTTGTATTTCATAAAGACATTCAGGCGCCAACACTTGGCATAAATTTTTATTATAGAATTACAAGAGAAAGGCATTGATTTACTTCCCTAGAATTTTTAATAGTTATACATAATTCATATAAGAACATAAATGTATGTATACATACATATATATGTGATTTTACATTTATTTAATTTAAATCAGTATAGAAATAACTTCACTCTGCAAATTGCATTTAGGGTGTTTACATTCCATTTTGCTTTTGTGTTACATTCCATTTTGCTTTTGTGTTTATATGAATTTGTATTCTTTTGTAATCAAATGTGTTGTATTTTTCAGGTTTTCCAAATTGCATATGTTATTGTTAAAGCTGCAATATCACCTCGTCCAGGAAACTGGATCCTTGAACGATCTAGGGATGGAATAAGTTACAAACCTTGGCAATACTATGCAATTAGTGATGCAGAATGTTGGGAAGCTTTTGGAATTCGTCCAACAATGGGAAAGCCTCGTTACAGAAGTGATGATGAAATTATCTGCACATCTTATTATTCAAAGTTGAACCCATTAGAAGGTGGTGAAGTAAGAATTTTAAGGATTCAATCTTTATATTAGTTATCTAATAATTTTGGAATCACCAAAACTTTTCAGCTTCATGTGCAGCTTGTGCCAGTTGAGTGTTATTTTTTCTGTTAATGTCACTTTCATTAATGTATTTATTGAGAGACTATATTTTATTATCTAAAGCTTAACAATTTTATATTATGTCGTAATTATTTAAGGTTGCTATTATATATACAAAATACATTCCCATTTTTTGCTTTTTATTTCTTCATGTATTATTTGAGTTAAATAATTATTGATTTGATGTGCCATTTAAGTTTTGACATGCTAAAAATTCTTCCAGAGTATAAATATAGTAGTAGGTAGTTTAAAAATAGGTACTTGAGTTTTAAGAATAAAGGGTTTAAGAATATATCTTCTCTTATAAAAATTGATGCAAATTTATTTTTTATCTGAATTCTGAATTATTTTTTATTTTAATTTTTTATTTAAATTTTGAAGGCGAAGTGGGATTTAAAGCAGGAGAAATATTGATAAAAGATATATTTTTAATTTCCTTTTGGTACTTACGTATTATCGCAACCAGGTTGGCGCGATTTATAAGTTTGAGTAAAAAAGTATGAATAGAAAGAAAATGTACATTTATTAATTAAAGATAATTTTTAATACAGTTTTTTATATTATTTTGTTTTAAAATATAAAATAGCAATTAAACCCTTCCAGTTTCAAATTTGAATAAGTTGCAGAATTATTTTTTCAGCGGAAATCTTTTGGCTATTGCTTTTAGCACTGATTGAAAACCGTCTTCGCCATTAACAGCTTGAGCTTGGCGCCATATAAATTCGATAAGGTATGAGTCAACAGTTTGTCAGCAATTCCCATCTCTTCTGCACAAAATTTAATTGAGGTTAACTCTTTACACCAACAATAAATGAAGTGCACCGCTGCCACAAATGAAATTCGGCTACCTTCAAACCAATTTCCGGTTCTCACACCCAAATGTTGATTGCCCTCTTCGACGTTACATTTCCAGAAAATTTGCTTTCCAAAATACAGTTTCATTTTATGAGAATTTTTACAAGTACGTTCATTCGGTATAATTCCATATCCCTGCAACAATTCTACAGCATCTTTTTCACTCACAGGCAGATCCCAAATACCCATAGTTAAAGTATTTCAGGGCATTCAATCTAACCAGTAAGAAAAATAATTTCTTTACGAAAAACTACGTATAACACGTAGGGTTGCCGTAAGTAGGGTCGCCAAATTTGGCAAATTTATGCGAATTTTGGCCTGGTTACGTTAATACGTAAGTACCTTCCTTTTATTTGAAAAAGTAGCAAATTGTATATTTTTTAACCAATCAACCACTGAGTTTTTATCATCCACAGTTACCAACAGTACCTAATCATAGTTACCAACAGTTGAAGTCATTTTTCTGTAATGTTTTCCTCATTAGTTAATTCGTTCTATGTGATCAAACCTGAAAAGTTTCACCAGTGTTTTTTATCCCAAATTATCGTGTCATATGTTATTAAGAGTGTTATCTAAAGCAAATGAGAGAGAAAAGTGCTATGCTTGCCACATGATTGGATGTTATTGATTGGTTTTCCTTTTTTTTTATTGCCATTATGGTTAAAAACTCCTTTATAATATAAATATTACTTGACTTAATTGGTATATTTAGTAAAAATTCTTACATACCAGATTGTAAGTTAACTTCATACAATGTGATGATATCTTTAGTGATTACTTTTAATAGAAGAGACAGTAAGACTGATGCTAATCTGTAGAGCTATATTGACTACAGACAGCAAAAGGATTGTTAACATTGATCTTAAAATAAGAAATCACATGTGTGTATCTTTAATTTTTGTCTTAAAGAACATCTTACTTTAAATTAATCATATTAACTGGCTTAGCCGATTCTTTGTTTACTTGCAAATTATGCATTCATTTGTTAAGTATTTTCTAATGTTATTTTATTTAGGAAATTGATGTTGTATATCAGTAGCATTGGTGTTTTGTCATAGTTAAATAGTGGTTTTTATTAAGAGTTTTCACAGTTTTGTTGGTTCTAAATATGAAATAAAAAAAATTGAGATATGTGACATATGTAATTTTTTAATGTCTTTAGATTCATACATCTCTAGTCAGTGGTAGACCTGGAGCTGAAGGCCCCAGCGATACTCTAAGAGTATGTTTATTCTATTTTTTATAGTCATGTTTATTGCTAGTATAGCTTGTCTTATGAAATGGCATAAATTACATGCACTTGAAATGATATTTTTAAATTTGATAGAAAAAGTATTAAGAAATATTGTTTGGGGAATATTTGTTCTCCATTTTAGAATAAAAACTCATTGAATGTAATATCTCTTTTCAGTCATGGTTTATTTTATTTTATTTATTTATTTATTTTTTTTTGTGTAACATTTCAGTACTGCTCTTTGGTTATGATATTTAGCTCATTTTTGGAACTATGCATTCACTTTCATGCAAATAATCATTTACAGTCTTGTCAGGAACCTCAGGTCTGCTAGAGCATGGCAAATCACTGCAATGGGAATTCTCTTCTATTAATTTTCTTAGAGTTTTTTACATGGGTTCAGGCACTTAAATATCCAAATCTTTTCTGTTGGATAAAAGAATCTGAAAATTACTGGTTTTGATTTAATCCTATGTCAGCAGTGTCATGATATGATAAACACCATGCATGCACATTTCAACAGAACTTTAGACATCTCCCATGAGACACAGAGTCGAGATTACAATAAGAGAAAGTCATGGTAAAGCTTGGATATGTTACAGTGTAAGCCGACAGAAATACTACATTATCCACTTTATGTAAATTATATATGTTATAATTAAAGAAGTAGTTAATTAAGGTTGAAAATGGCATGAATGTTAGTCTTTTTTATTGTTTTAAGAAATGTTTACATGTGGATTTGACAGTTCATTGAAAAGACACAATAACTTTTATGCAAGTAAGGGTGGGAGACAGATAAATATTGAATAGGACTTGATGGGATATATGCCATGCATGCACCCCTAACTGAACAGCATGCACTTTTGTATCTCTTCCACAAAACACACGAAGTTAAGATTACAAGAAGAGAACATCATGATAAGTCTTAGATACATTATGTTGAAAGCCAGCAGAAATATTACATTATCCTTTTTTAAATAAATTATACCCAGGGCTTAATTTCTAAACTTAGAAGTGCGGGAGCCCTATGGAAGGCCATCAGCAAAGAGGAAGAAAAGTAAATAAATAAAATGACTATTAAAATCATTACTAATTTTAAAATTAAATATTTAAGTATTTAATCAATATTAATAATTACTATTATTAATTATTATTTAATTAAATACACATTAATTAATTAAAATTTTAAAAAATTAAAATTAAAAAAATGTAAAGAGAGAAAAAATTAACAATTTAAGCAAAATTTTGCAAATTTTTTAAATGATCAGTTTCAGTTTTTCAGTTACGTAAAGGAAGTGCCGGAGCCTTCTTATTTAGGGCTCCGGCGCTATTTAAGATATGATTATACCTGTTTATTTGTTTATGTTATAATAAACTTTATCCTGTACTATGTATGTATGCTTTATAAAAAATGACTGCATCACATCATGTACACTGCACCCGGGGGGACCAGTTCTATACCTTCCGCTCTACTGGGCCGATTGACAAAATTCAACTTGCTTTGTTCATATCTTGAAATTGCGACTAAGGATATGCATTAGATTTATATATAGTATTGTTCTAATATAGGTATTTTGACGAAAAAGACTTTTCCTGAAATGACATGCCAATTTTTTTCCATATTTAGATTTTACGACTCAAATTATGCCAAACTGCCATGTTTTTAAGAAATTAGCTCCTGATTGTTAATTGAATGTGGTATATATTTATTAATTTCTCTTTTTTATTAAACTTATTTCATTCTTCTTTTCATATTTTGAAATTTAGGTTCATTCCAAATAAAATTTGCCCATTTTTTATGATTTATTTTTAAAATTTGTATTTTTAAATATTTTTTATAAATTTTTTGAAAAAACATTTTGAATTATAATGTATAAATTTTTTTATAATTAGAATATATATTTTTACAATAAGAATTATAATCTATAAAATCCATCATCTTAAAGTAGATGTATTTCTAAGCGCACCTGCAAAAAATTAGTTTCTTATTCAAAATTTCCGATGATATACATGAATTTATATATTGGCGTGTTTTGAAATTTAACATATTTTTCATAAGCCATCAAATGTGGTTTAGGCACTTTTTTAAAGTTATTCGAAAGTAGGAACTATGTCACTTTTTTTTCTTCTCGTGCACAATGTAAAAAGGAAAAGGATAATAAGTTGCCATATATTAAGAAGTTTGCCAAGGGAATTATTCTTGGTGCAAAGTGAAAAAAAAAAAAAAATGCGCCAAAATAAATTTTTGAATTCTCCGTAAATTTCACACCAGATTTAATATTTAGGCATAACTTGAGTAGTAGAATCGAAATATGGAAAAAATTGGCATTTCATTTCAGAAAAAGTGCGATTTTGTGTTAAAATACCTGTATTAGAACAATGCTATATATAAATCTAACATATATCCTAAGTCATGCTTTCGAGACATGAAAAACACAAGCCCAGTAGAACAGGAAATATAGAACTATCCACCCCCTTTTTTTTGTGTGTTTGTGCTCAGCGTATATGTTAATATGTCAAGAACCTACTTCATGATGGAAGTATCACAAAGAGTATCTCCTATGGGTGCCAAATATCGTAGTATTGAAACATTGGTTTCATGACCATCTGAATGTTTAACATGAATATATTATGGGTTAGCTTCAATGAGCTCTACTTCCTGCTACTTTCATATTTATTAGCTAATGTATGGTTAAGTGACCAAATCGAATGCAAAACAGGCTGTAAAACTTCTTTCCAATGTTTGATTGCAATTTTCTTTGATTTTTAGCACAGGTGGATGGTTTCCATATGATCCCATTGTACTTTTCTACTTGGCAATTTCCTTGAGGATTATATGCAGTGTAACTTGTTGCTATACCAAGTGAAGTTAAGAGGGATTTCAATTCATGAGATATAAATGAAGGTCTGTTATCAGAACGTATGTAGGCTGGCATCTGAGAAATTGAGAAAGAGTTTTGCAGATGAGCAATAACAGTAACAGATAACATATCAGGGCAATGCAGCATGAACATGAATGAATTGCTCTTCTAATTTCTTCAAAAGGAAAAAAACAAAGTGCATCATGTAGTACATTTAGATATATTTGAATTTGTATAGCTGCATTTATTCTTGATAAAGTTTCTGCAATTTCATTTTTATCTCCAGGGGAGTATAAAATAGCAAATTTGAAATAAGCAAGTTATAACTGCCAATGATTAATTTTCTTACTTTTAACTTTACTGCGATGCAGTTGATCTAATGTAACTGCCATTGATCTTGGATCAGTAAATCCTAAGCTTTCTCCAATGAATTAGTGGCTTTTCCTAATAACTGTTCTCCAATGTGTGGATTCTTCAAACCTCAGATGAATGCATCTCTAAAGTACTCATTTTTATATTCTTCAGCAGTAATACATTTAAACTCATAATATTTGCTTAATTGTTTAATGTTATAAATATTCATTTACATACTCACCTGTTTGTTGCAGTTTAGATGCTAAGCAGTACCGGGCAAATATTTAATTTCTTTTAGATGATGATGTAGGATGATGAGGTACAATGAATGTAGAACATTAATTGCATTATCATATTATTCTGAATCATTAATAGATTGATAAACACTTGCAGATTCGGAATTATGTAAGAGCTTTAATTTCCATCTATCAGTCATCTCCTTTGCTTGCATAAAGAAATTTGAAAAAAGATCTTTTCCAGTGTTTCCATTTAGATTCTGTTCCAACACATATGAAGTCAACATCAAATCTTTCTTCTTTCAAATGTCGTCCCAGTTTACAAAAACGTAAAGCATAAATCAGTTTTAGTTGATTAAATTTTGGTAAATATTGTAAATCATTTCTCAAAAGAAGGGTAAAAATATATTTACAGGTGCCTCTTGGTGAAAATTGGTGGTACATGGACACCTGTACCTGTGCAGTTCTTTGACTTGTTATTTTGGATTCGCCGCTACACAAAAGCCAAAGTAACAAGTCAAAGAATTACTCGGTTTCCATGTACACATGGACCTATTTTCCCTTAAAACCACATCAGAGAATTGCACAAACTCGGCATTTTGCACTCCGTTGACTTTGTCCATGTAAACACATCTATGTATTTTCACTTAAAAAGTCAAAGGAGTGCCCAGTTGTACGCTAGAGCCAAACAAAAAATGTATAATCTCAGTAGACTACATTTTAAATCAAACAATGAAATAACATAAAAAAGGAAATTCATCTTATAGCAGCTAAGCACTGCACAACAGAAATATACACTTACTTTATTTAGAAATTTCCGTGTCTTCAGTCAATGGCACACACAATTCCTTAACAGCATCCAAAATCTTTCCTCAAACCATGTTCCCTTTCTAATAGAACATTTTACATGGTGAGCATTTGAAACTTTCTGACAAACCCATTCAAAGCCATCTGAACGATCTTTGCATTAATGCTAAATGCTAAATTGTGAGAACATCGTTTAAACAAAGAATAATTGTTGCTATTCCATGTAATATAATTTTAGTGCTGCCAAAAATTATAATGTCACATGTTGTTTCAGGAATTTACTACAGCTCGATATGTAAGGCTCAGGTTACAGAAAATTCGCACATTAAATGCTGATCTTATGACCATGCAGTCCAGTGATCCCAATAAGATTGATAAATCTACCACACGACGGGTATAATTTTTAGCATCTGTCTTGCTTTCTTATAATCTATTTATTTGCTTATACATTTTGCATTAATTTCTGAGAAATCTCTCATTTCTTTGCAGTATTTTTATTCAATAAAGGATATATCAGTTGGAGGTCAGTGTGTTTGTTTTGGCCATGCTAAATATTGTCCATTAAATTGCGAAACAAACGTGAGTATTGGAAAATTCATTCTTTTTCTTTTATATTATTACAGTCAAAAGTCGTTAATCCGGACTTGTCGGGACTTCGGCTATTCCAGATTATAGATCATCAGTTTAAATCTGGTTAGATGTCATGCAGAAATTATAAAATTAAAAATATGAAACCATAATTTATGAAATAAAGAACAATTATGATCTAAAGGGTATCAAAATTTACAAAAACAAAAACAAAAAAAAAAAAAAAAAAAAAAAAAAGCTTAATATTTATTTGTTTACTTTATTAAACATTTCTTTCAATAACAGTAACAGATAACATGATAGTTCTTTCAATAACAGTAACAACAGATAGTTGTTTAAGTTGATTCGTTTTATGTGATAATACTTTCTCTTTAATTCTATAAACAGACATAATTTCTTCTTAAATTACAAAGTTCCACTGTTCAAGTCCTATAACTGCTGTGTCGAGAATACCGACTAATTTGTCAATCGAAATTTTTTCGTTTTCAATAACCTCTGTGTCACTTTCTTCACTATCGGAAGTGAATTATAATGACGAGGAATTTGATTTAAATCATATCAAAGACGGAGTACATCGAGATGAAATACTACATTTAGTAAGGAATTATAAGCCAAATAAAATTAAAAAAATTGCCCTGAAGATAAGGATAGTGCTGACAGATCAACTTCCAATTCATTGCGCGCCGCGGTGTCGCCCCCCACCCCCACCCCAGAGCAGCGTGAAATTGATAAACAGATTTCGGAATGGTTAGAGAAACAAAGGATATGCCTTTATCCATTTTTTGCAGCAATTCCACTTTTTGTTTAATGGACTTCGAAACATACTTTCACTTTGTAGATCCTTTACATATTAGTAAATATATATTGGAAATTCTATTTGCCATAATCGAAAGTTCAAGCTTGCTTTTATAAAATTGCTTTAACAGTCTTCAAAAAATAATAATCCGGATCCAATTCGAAGATTAAGGAACAACACAATCTGCAACATTAATTGAATAAAAGAATTTTAGCTTAGCTTATAACGTCCGTTATACATTAAATGTGCATGCGTAAATGTATTATGCGCATGCGCACACGCATATTCGCAGCCATAAAGGTCTTATGTCCATGCTTAAACTCCTATGCGCATGCGTCAACGCGACACATGCGCAGAAAATTTGTAGCTTTGAGGTCCAGATTATGGGTGTCCGAATTAACGACTTTTGACTGTATACATCCTTTTTCTTTTATATTATTATATTTTGGAATTTTAGATATGTAATGGGGAAATTAATGTTGGCCAGATTCATTTTTTCCCATTTTATAGCACTTAAGTGCTACACTTTAGTATTCATAATTAGAGAATAAATAGTTAAACTTGGGAAAACCATCAAGTAAAATATTGTAAAACTACCGAGTTAAATATGATAAGTTTTAAAATTATTTAATTTGTAAAATTTAAGCTGTTTATACAGTTATATATATTTATAATAATTAATATTCTAGGTACTGTTCTGTTATTCAGGTTCTGTTCTGTACAGTACAGGATTCAGAAAAGTATGAACATATGTGCATGTGTATATATGTATGTGCTTATATATGTGTGTGTATACACAACCATACATTTGTGTTTTCATATATACATGCGTACATGAACACATACATCTATACATACATGCAAACATATGTACATTTCTGGATCCAGTCTTCATAACAGAACAAATTTTTTTTTCTGTTCTCATTTTGTATGCTTCAAAATATTAACTATATTATAGTAATATAATTCTGTTAATGTTTAAGCTATTTATTTGCTTTTTTTATCTTACATATTTCTTAAAGGACATCAGTTTTTTTCATACTTACTGCATTCCTATGTTTTAAGTGCAGAGGTTGCAAAATGTCATTGAAATTTCTTAATTCTGCTGAAATATATTTTTAAAGCTTAATCTGTATATATATGTAAGCAAAATACCACCGACTCATCATGAGATCTCCAAAACTACACATCCGCTTGACTTAAAATTTTGCATAGTTGCTCATTCCACGATACAGATGCGCACTAAGAACGAATTTTACGTAAATCGTGTCAAAAATGGATTTTTGTTATACAATAGAAGTTTCTCATACATTTGGTTTTCAAATCCAAGTTCAGAATTTTCTTTTATTGTTGCCAAAACTAGATATGAAATACAATGTTGCCAATGAATGCATTTTCCTTTAAAATTATTAAATTGGTAAATAACTTGCATCTATCTAATGAATACAAACAATATTTAAAGGTTAATAATAACATTTATATTTAACTGTTATCATAAGTTTCATGAAAATAAATGTTATTATTAAAAGAAATAAATTATTGTGATAAAAAATTAAAATGTTGTTGTTAATTATAAAAATTGCAAGACATAAAAAATCAAGGACAAATAATTATAATTGATTAAAAAATTTTATAACAAAAATAACATTTATTTTCTTGAAACTTATGATAACAGTTAAATGTATATAAACCTTAGTTTGATGATGACAAATTTTTGTGGTGTAGGCCTATTGGGGATCACGCCACGTTAAATCATGGGGACGCATCCCAATACACAGTACATGATTGGTGATGTGGAAATCTGTGTATGACGGGTTCACTGACTGGCACTATATTTCCCGACTTTAAATAATTTCAAACTGATAATCAATGTAAATTAAAAAAAATTTACATTAATTATCAGTTCAAAATTAGACATTTTGTCCATATAAGAAGTCTAGGTTCACATTCAAATAGATAATGTGTCCAGCAAAGTGGGCGGGTATCAGCTAGTAATTTATAAAATGTATGCTATAGTGGTTTTGTGAAACGTATTGCTTTTTTTCGCTCTAAACATAAAATGAATTTTTTTGACTCTAGAAACTTCTTGATGAGTGTTTTTTCATTTGTTTTCTAATCCTATGTTTTAATTGATTTTATTATTTCACTGTAATTTTAGTGATATTCAAATAAAATTTGGAAATGTGAAAATATTGGAAAAGTAGTTATGAAAGTTTTATTTTTATTGGTTTGTTTATTTGTTACGTGTAAAGGTGGTAGACCTTGTAATTTTATATAATAATTTTAAGAATTTTTTTTTGTTTCCTGTGTAGTTTTTATTTATTTCATATTTGGCTTGTATATATTTGTATGTAGGAATACTTTACTTTTTTTATAGTTGCTTCAGTGTAGATGTGAGCACAACACTTGCGGTGAGAACTGTGAACAGTGTTGCCCTTTGTACCAACAAAAGCCATGGCGACCTGGTCGGGTGAATGATGGTGCTGCCTGTGAAAGTTAGTATCAAATCATTACTGGAACTTCAGAATTGATTCAAATTCAAGAAATAATTCAAAATTGACCGTTTTTTGAATAACTTTATGATAAGTTCAAAAAGTGTGATTAAATTTCTCTGAACTCTTTTGAAGTTGACATTCCACAGTTCCAAATGAATTTATCATGTTGTTGTTTTAGATGCTCAGTACTGACATTAATATAGAAATACTAGTCCGAATTTCTAAGTCTGTGATCAGAATTTCTGAGAACATGAATAAGCATCAGTATTGAGCAAAATCAGTATGCCATATACTGCACTATTGTGCAAAAAATCAAAATCAGTATTGAGCAAAATCAGTATGGCATATACTGTCCTGTTGTGCAAAGTATCAAATTTCTTAGCTAAATGAAAAAATTGTTTTCTTCCATTTTATTTTATGTGTGAAATAGTTGCCTCTTTTCTACTCTACTGAAGTAGCAATAAAGTAAGAGTGTAAGTTTTGCATTTCATTATATATTTATATATAATTTAATGGTTTTCACTTTAACAAATAATCATGTACAGTCAAAAGTCGTTAATCCGGACTCCTCGGGACTTCGGCGATTCCGGATTATCGATTTTTCCGGATTATAGATCATCAGTTTAAATCTCGTAAGATGGCATGCAGAAATTCTAAAATTAAAAATATGAAACCGTAATTTATGAAATAAAGAACAATTATGATCTAAAGGGTATCAAAATTTGCAAAAAGAAAAACTTAATATTTTTTGTTTACTTTATTTAAACATTTCTTTCAATGTAAGTTGTTTAAGTTTTGCTCGTTTCATGTGATAATACTTTCTCTTTAATTCTATTAAACAGACATAATTTCTTGTTCAGTTACAAGTTCTGCTGTTGCAAGTCCTATAATTGCTGTGAAGAACACCACTAATTTGTCAATCGAAATTTTTTCGTTTTCAATAACCTCTGTTACTTTTCTTCGCTATCGGAAGCGAATTATAATGACGAGAACTTGTTTTAAATCATATCAAAGACGGAGCACATCGAGATGAAATACTAATTTGGTAAGGAATTATAAGCCAAATAAAATAAAAAACATGCCCTGAAGATAAGGATAGTGCTGACAATCTACTTCAATTCATAGGCCCCGCTGCGCTTCCCCCCGACAGCGTGAAATTGATAAACAATTTCGGATTTCAAAACATACTTTCGCTTTGATCCTTTACAATATAAAATATATATCGGAAATTCTATTTGATATAATCGAAAGTTAAAGCTTACTTTTATAAAATTGCTCTTACAGTCTGCAAAAAATAATAAGCCGGATCCAATTCGAAAATAAGAACAACGCAATCATCAACATTAACTGAAAGGATAATTAGATAATTTTAGCTTAGTCCAATTATACATAAAATGCGCACGCGAAAACTATCTGCACTGCGCACACTCATATGCGCAGTCGTAAGGTCTTACGCGCCGCATAAACGCCTATGCGCATGTGTCAACGCGGCGCATGCGCAGAAAGTTTTTAGTTTTGAGGTCCGGATTATAGATCATTCCGAATTATGGGTGTCCGAATTAACGACTTTTGACTGTATAATTACTAACTTAATAATAACTTGGAGGCCTTAATTAATTTTATTTATTTGTTAAAAAATTAACTTTTTTGAAGATCTGTTATTGCATGTCCATATATCTTTAAGCTCTGTTGTTTCATAAATTGAGATTGATCAGAATTTAGTAACAATTAAAATATGCATTTATGTTTAAATAAAATTTACTTTGTTTCCTATAAATGTATGTTTATTAAAAGTGTGCACCTTTAACATATTTTGTTACTAATGTCTTATATATTTATTGAATTCAGGGATGTTTATCCAAGTAAAATTTTAAAAGCTTTTGTATCAGAATATGTTTAAAATTGTATCAGTGTTTATATTAACCCAAGCATTCAAGTAGGTGTGTGGACTAATTGTAATGATATATATGTATATATGCTAATGTATATGTATGTGGTTTTCATACTTTTCCATAACATGTTAGAATTATGTATACTTATATCAGCATGTATTATATCTTTAATTTTCTCCATAGAATGCCAGTGTTATGGGCATACAGATGTGTGTTTTTATGATCAAACTGTTGCTGATAAGAAAGCAAGTTTAAATATTTATGAAGAGTATGAAGGAGGTGGTGTATGTATTAAATGTAAGGTAAGGACAATTTCTTTTCTTTTTTTTCCTAATAAAACCATTTGGATAATATAATCCATATATATGTATAATTGAAATTTTAGGAACTGTGTTTGTAGTGACCCTAAAGATATGTAATGTTAAAAATGGACACTTTCTGATGCTAAAGAGACATAAATAATAAATTTTTAACAGAAATAATTTATCTATAGATAATAGACATCTATGGATAAAAAAGTACAGATTCAAGTATTGCTTGAGACTCAATATTTGACAACATCTTTACTGTCAAAAGACACAGGCTTTTAAAATGCAAATTTTAAGACAAAATATGTAAGCACATAATCATGATTAAATTTTCATAATTTCAGTTATTCTTTCTTTTACAAACTTTTTCTTTTCTGTAAAAGCAGTAAATATTAACAGTTTTATTAAATTGTAGATATTAATAGATAAATTATATGAAAATGTTTAATGTTTACAGACTACATGTAATGTATTTTAAAATACGTTGTCTCGTGATACTTTGGGTGAAGTCTTTTCTTTAAATAAAAAAAAAAAAAAAAAAAAAAAAAAAAAAAAAAAAATATATATAAATATATATATAGTATATATATATATATATATCTATATATATATGAAAAAAAAACGTTTACACACAATTTATTAAATTATATAAATATATTTACATGTAATTTTAAAATTGATTTTGAGGTAATTCTTTTACATAAAGCATCATACTACTGGAATTAACTGTGAGCAATGTGAAGATGGTTACTACAGGCCTTTGGGAGTTGAAAGATCGGATCCTGAGCCATGTCGCAGGTGCCGTTGTGCTGGACCAGGTGTTACAGGATTTTGTTTCAAAGATGATTCTCATGTATTGGAAGGGGTGGTAAGCTTTTTTTATATTTCTATATTTTTAAACTAAAAATACTCTTGCTTTCCTTTTTTAAAATACTATTCAGGTTAGTTTAAATACTTTAAGCCATCATTTATTTACCCATGAAAATAATTGTACTGCATAAACTGTATAATGTAAATTACTTTTAAGTTTTTATATCATTGTGCATTTACAATGTAACCTAATATTTATATCTTGTTTTGAGTTTAATTAGTTATGATGACAGTTGGTGTTAACATCATGAAAACATTTTCTTAAAATTTACAATTGTGAATTTTATGGCAAATTGTTTGTTAAAACTACAGAGAGAATGCTATTTCAAAGACCGATGTTACAGTGTCACTTCAGAAAAATCAAAAAAAGAAATTTTTCCTTAGTGAATAGTATTTTTATAACAAATATATTATTATATGAATAATAGTAGATGTACTTAAAAAGAACAAATGTTAAGCCATATCTGTACTAATCCTTAACTGTTCATTACTTTTTTATATAATGGAAATAATTTTTTAAAAAATTAGCTTCCAGAATATATCCAAACTTAAAAATTGGTTCTAGTAAATTATTAGTGACTTCATTCAGTTATATATTATTTTTGACATATACTTAGAATTTTTTACAATATATTCAGATTAAAGCAATAATACCTTCACATGAATTTGCTATAAAAATCATAAGATTAAAGCAGAATGCAGGAAAATGTATTTAAAATTCATGTACTGACATTCAGTGGCAGACCTACAGCTAGTGAGGTCTAGGGCTGGAAATCTGCTTGGATTCACTTTATTGGAATGATCGCCATACAAAATGTCAACACAAATATATAATTAACATTTATTTCATTAAAATTAAATAGTTCAAATGATTTGAACAAAAAAATCTTGTGGTAAAAATCTTGGTGCAAAACAAGCTACAATCTAGCAGCAAACATATATTTAAAAAAGTTAATTAATCTGCTATTTTTGACGATTTAAAATAATTTTTTTAACTTTTCTGTCAATAAAAAAGCTACAATTGTTTTTTTATGAGCTTTGACTTCTGAAAATTTTTTTTATAGCTTCATCAAAATTGGATGTTTTAGCCACTGCATTTTCAATAGAAAGGGTTGCCAAATGGCTAAGTCTTACTTAACTCATTGTTGACTAGAGATGGCTTTTAATCAACTTCAACAAAAGCTTTCTCACAAGAAGCAAATGAAACTTACACCGTCAAAAAAATCTTTAACATCAAATATAAGTCAGGAATTGATTCTTGAAAGTCTATTTTCACAATAAGCTTTTAACATTTTCAATGCAGACAGTTTATAGCTTTATCCATGACAATGCTTGTTATGAAAAACCCATACATACAGCATTCTGTAGTAGAAATTAGTATATTTTTTAAAGAAAGTGATACCATGTATATTAAAAAAAATGTGTATAATATGGGCATGCATATGTTGGGTGTTGTTAAAATATTTGAAAATATGCATAAAACATGGCAGTTCTACTGAATATTGAACTTCAGGTGTAAATAATGAGAAGGTACCAAGAAGACTTTGAAAGCATTTAAAAAAATAGCTTTAATTTAAGAAAAAGCAAACCTTGAAATGTAATAAGATATTGTCATTATATTAATGAAAGGAACATTGTTTTTTTCAATTGAATATGTTTCCAACTGGTTTGTATGAAGCATATCTAGAAAGTACCCATGTTGTAATAGAAAAAGGATGAAAGAAATTGGTCTAATGATTTTTTTTTTTTTTTTTTGCCTTGAAAGCATATATCTTTGGATATTATTTTACATAGTACTCAGTATCATTATATCATTCATGATAATGCTGTATTTATCATAATTGGAGACAAATTTTTGTATACCCTCTTCATACACTATTGTGAGGCTGTTTGTGTTTGTGCTTTCTTGCATTTTCCTTTTTTGTAGCAGTTGTAATGATTGTGTATATATTTGCAAAGTTAAAGGAGATTTTTTATGGAAGCATTTTTTTTATAACTAAGAACTCCAACAGAAAAGTAACTGCTTTTCTCAATGGACTGGTAGTATAAATGATTGGTAATAATATACAAAAAACTTGCGGTTTTGTATGGTAAGTGCCATTCTGTGTTGGATAATGGTCTTAAAGTGTTTACTTTAAATTAAAATGGTTTTGTTCCAGTAACTTATTTTTCTTTCTTATTACCAAATAGATAACACTTTCTGTATGTGCCATATATGCAAGTAATGTGTAAAATTATATTTGCTGTTTTTTTTTTTTTTATTATATAGCTATATTTATTACCAATGAAGCAAAATGTTATTTAAAGTTTTTTCTGATTTAGTTTTATAGTATCCTTAAAATAAATCGTATTTTGTTAGAAAACATTTTTGATAGCCTTTCGTTTATTAATATATACCTCTTTAGCATAGAGATTTTCAGTCATTGATCAGAATTGTAAGTATTAAAATAAATATTTTCTGGTTAGTGTTTTAAACTGTGTTAGAAAATAAAGTGCTTAATAAAATGACATAGAGTAATTTTAGGACAGGAATATTGCCAAATAATGTTGTTTAATCTGTGATCTTAAATTAGCAAGCTTATTAATTAACATTAATTCTACTTTTATTACTTACACTAACATAAATAATCTTATACATACATATATAGTTTTAATTATCAATAAAATACTGTGATTGTTAATTAATAGAAGTTTATAAAGATCTTGGCTTAGCTTTATAAGAAGAAAATGACATAAGTTTCTTTTAGGGTTACTTTAATGAATTAGTTTTACATAAATAAACTGATTTCTTAAGTAAACTCTGTTCTAATGTCAAAATAAAGTTAAAAATTATTGTACATTAAAAGTTTGAAATAAGTAAAAATGTATGAAACTTAGTGATGAAATGATACATTTCGGCAGTAATGAAATAGTTGAAATTTAATACCTTTTTTCCCCTACTTAAATATTACTAATAAATGAAATTTAACTAATATAACTCATAATAAATGGCCATAAATTCAGTATGTTTTCAAGGCTAACAAGAAAGTTATGTTATCATTAATCAGAGTTTTAGTATAATTAATTTAATAGTGTCATTAATAGTTTTTTGATAAAGTTTAATCATCATTTTGTATTCTGAATACAGTATAAATAATTTGTTGCTAATAAGAAGTCTTTCAAGAAATAATAAAAAGCAATTGTTCAATTTTAGTATCCAGGTGACTGTATTTGTAAAGAAGGTTTTGCTGGCAGCAAATGTGACCGTTGTGCTTTGGGATATCAACAGTATCCAATCTGTGCACGTTGCCCTTGCAATCCTGCTGGAACCGATGGAGAAACCACATGTGAAATACAGTGTATCTGCAAAGTAATTCATAAAATTAATTCAAAATTTTTAGCTGTTAGGTTTGGAGATGTGTTTGATTGTAATAACTAGAAACTTTTTATATGATTAATTATCTTCTAATTTAAATAGATGAAAATACATTCTAATAAAAATACAGTAAAAAGAATTTAAAATTGCTTAATTGATATAAATGTCAAGATTTTTAAACAAAATAATTATGTGGAGATGAATTTAAGTTCGAATTGATGTTGACTTTCCTTTTGTCTTTTTTTCATAACAAATTTCTTCAGCATTTTTTGTTTGGTTACCAACGTGTGTGCTTTATTTTGTTAATGTGCTTTAATTATGTTGGTATATACCAACATAACCAACATAATTTTTTTAATATTTTTTATTTTGCGTATTATTTTCAATGGCTTTTACTTACGCTATTCAAGAAATTAAATTTTTTAATCATGTGAGCTTACAGACTTTTCTAATTATTTGTAATTTTTTAAAAAAGAAATAACATGGTTTTATTATGCATTAGGCTGCTGTTTCTTCAACTAGCAATACTAATAATTTTATTATAGTATAAGAGATACATACATGCCTATGTTATATTATCTGATTCAGTACTTTTTTTCCAAGAAATATGATCATGCGATTGGATATTTTGTATTTTGTGTGTTTGTTAATAATATTATGTATAAAAATCCTAATGAATTGTTATTAGGTTTTTATTTTTCATTTTTGAAAGTATTGATGCTTCAAGTGGACAAGAAGCTTTATTTCTGTCCTTCTGTTTGAGAGAGTTCTTTTAAATGCAGAGACTACTGAGTAAATTTATGATATCAGAAGTGAGGTTTTCATCTTCTATAACTGAATGTCTTAAACGGATTTTTATTGCTGAGAATATTTGTGATAATGGGCATACAAAGAATTAGTGTGGTCAATACAGTATCAGTATGGTTAATGCTCTTTTATTGTTCTCAGATTCCAAGTTGGGGGACTTTTCGTATCTGGTGCAGCTATTTTGGAAATGTGTTTTGTGTTTAGACAATTTGGATATGATTTGAGTAGAATCCACTTAAACCAAATTATTCAAATGATCCTAATCAATTTATAATGCATGACTTGACAAAGTTTTCATCTTGGAACTGGTGAAACAATTTTCATATTGTTCAAGAAGTAATATTCTTAAACAGGGTATTGTCAGATTAATTTGTCAGATAGCCTTTGTGAACAAAGACCTCTTGTATTGTTGGAAATAGAAATGATCGTCTGTGTAAGACTCTGTACATGAATAGCTGAAAACCAAAAAGCCATTGATCACAATCATACAACATACCATGGTATGCATCCACAGTACAGTGGAACACCATTTATGTTTCTTGTTTATACACCTTTGATGTTTATACATCGTATCCTTTTGATCCCAATTCAGTCATAGTTATTTAAATAGGAAAATATTTCTTTTATACATCACATAACTTCAGTCATAGTCACTTTTGTGTGATTTACCCCCATTCCATTTAACTATTTTCCCAGAAAAGGCGACAGGACAAGGGAATAAAGGCATGAGACATCACAGTCTGCCAGAGGAGCTGAAAACCAGTTCATGAATAGAGGGAATACTTGGAAGGAAAAATAGATACTTTTTTTTTTTTTTTTTTTCTGAACAGGACACTGTTAAGTAAATTATTTGGAGCAAAATTAACTGATACAAAATGTCACAAAAGCGAAATCATTTTTGTTAAAAGACTAAATTCAGATCTTAAAAGAATTTGATGATAATACCGGTTTGACAAAAGCTGAGCCAAAGAGACTGGATATTCTTATGAAAACACTAAAAGCGGTTGTATGATACATAAAATGCATTGAAGAATTTTGTGGACCATCTGATTCAAAGAAATTATGTGTTCAAATGGAAAGTTTGATGAGATTAAAGCCATTTTGCTAAAATTTTTCGTTCAGTGTTGTACATCCAATATTCCAGTGAATGGCCCTATATTGATCGAGAAATCAAAAGAAATAGCACTTTGATTGAATGCAAAAAAAGCTAGCTTTTTACTAGATTGCTTCATAAATTTAAACTGCTGTATAGAATCTCATGCCGTGTAATAAATGGAGAATCAAGACGTGTTCCTGCTGAATCAGTTGAAGAGTGGTTCAAGAATTTATCCACCAAAATAGATGGATATGAAATAAGACATTTTTAATATTGATGAAACTACTCTTTTCTTTAAACTTATGCCTGCAATAACCCTAGCAAATAAGAAATCATGAGAAAACTATGAGGAGACAAAACAGCAAAATTTGAATTTTTATGGATCAGTGTATTGCCCATCCTCAAATGACAGATTTCTTGAAAAATGTGAAAGTTGTTTTCTTGTGCTAGTATAGTATAACCTTAGATCTGGGTGTCAATTTTAAAATGTTCTACTGCAAAGATTGATTAAAATAGCTTTAATATAACTGCAGAAAATGCACAGAAAAAATTAAATATTCTTGAGACTATGAATACAATTTCACTTGCCTGGACTCAACTAAAACTAAAATAATTAACATTTGTTTTATTCAAGAGCCAATTTCAAACCCAGATTCAAGTGAAAGTATTGACGATGAGAATGATGATGAAACTGTGATTATGGATGAAGAAGACTGGAAACTTCTGGATTAGACTTTATAGTTGAGAAATATGTAAACGGCAATGCCAGTGCAAGGACACCAGACTTTATACATAGCTGAAAAACCGATTGAAAACGTTTTTCCAGATGAACATTTAAATAGCAGGAGGGATAAAGGAGCAAATGAAGAAATATTTCCACCTTTTATTCAAAATGCTATCTACTGCATTGATACCCTCAGAAATTTCTTTGTGTGTAATACAAGTGAGAAAAGCATTTCAAGACCTGAATTCGATTCATAGCATTTTACATAAGATTCAGAATCAAAAGACACATCATACAGCAATTAAAGACCTTTTTCTTTAAAAAAAGTTAAAATTTGTTTTAAAATGTTCTTGGCAAAAAATATCTCTTATTCAAGATGGTAATTCAAATAAAGATTTTTTTAAATTTTAAGTAATTTAGAATTTTGCAATTATATGATTTTTAAAATGTTTAATTGATAAAATTATAAATATTTTTAAATATAAAATAAAATTTGTATTAATATCATTTAAAAAATGTTAATTATAAAAGCTGTGTATGTTGTTTCATTGTTTAAAATATTAATATTGCTTAAATATTTATTTAAAACATTAATTTTAACTTTGTTAGAACTTAGTTAAAATTTTAAACAAATTGAAATTATGATAGTAAAATTATGTAATATCAGTAGTAGGTTAATAGTATCAAAATTGTGTAGCTAACATATACAATATATGTTTAACATTGTAAATTAAAATTTTGTTTATATGTCTTTCTCATTTCTATGTCATTTGTGTATGGCCCTTTAAAAGACGTATAAATGATGCTTCACTCTTATCAGCTACATTTTAATATACTGTTTTCATAGACATTTGAAATACATGTGCATTTCCATTTTGTGGGAATATTATTTTCCCGCAAAAGAATCCTGAAATAAAATGACATCTTATATTATTCTAATTTTATGACCTTCAGCTTAATTGAATAAACAAGGTTTGATAATAAATTGCCATAACTTTTGTTGGTGCAAAGAAAGTTATGGCACTTTGGCAAACTGTGATCATGATTATCCAGAGCTGCTGTTCTTGTTGGTGGATAGTTTTGAACATTCAACTAGATTTTCTAAACTGTTTTTGAAATTATTTGTCAAAATACTTTCAAGCTCAGCACCCAGGGTTCCTTTGATATTATCAACACTCATGAAATGTTATTTTTAAATACTGATTTTGGTTTAAGGCCAGAGAGCAAGTTGAGTAGTTGAGTATGAAAATGCCAAATTTAGCTATATATTGTGTTGAATTTGCCAGTGCACTGCCATTCAGGGTGCACTAATTGCTGTGATCTAGCAAGAAAAGCACTTTAAACTTGTGTAGAAAAACTTCTGGGTAAAAAAAGAGCACTGTTAATTTTCTTCACAATTTTCAAAAAATAGCTAGTTGATGGCTTTTTCATTGAATCACTCATACTTTTATCTTTATAATGTGAAATCAAGCATCATACAATTCAAATACATAATTGAAAAATAAGGCATTCTCTTAGTAAACATTTTTAAATATTTTGTAAGCTTCCTGCAGTGGTTCAGGTAAGTTGTAGCAAAGCTGGCATTCACTGTCTTCGGGAACTTTTATTGATAAATCATGTACATAAAAATGATTCTTAATTAACATATTACAAATTAATATTAATTGTATTTAACAAATTTTAGGAAAATGGTATGAATGATTTTGTATTTTAAAATTCTAAAAATTATTTGTAGAAAAATGTTGAAGGACCTCGCTGTGACTTCTGTAAGCCTGGACATTATAATTTAGACGCTGAGAATTCTGATGGCTGCACACCTTGCTATTGTTCTGGAAAAACTAATAGATGTGAGCCAAATGATTGGGGAGTGAGAGTGGTAAGTGTATTTTTTTTTAAAGTTAATAATTACAAATAGTTTTGTTTTTGTTTAATGCATGTTAAATTTGTTGAAATGAGCATAGAACTGATGATATCAGGCTGTAATATTTAAAACAACGTAATGAATTTTTATTTACTTATATTCTGATATAACTACTGATTTTAATAAAGAAAGTTTCTCTTAACTTACACTTTGGAAATTTCAACAAGCATGCAAAAATGACAAAGGTGTAAGAATGATATCATTGCAAGTAACTGCAATCTTACCATAAATCTTCCAAGCTGAAACTGCAGTCAATACATAAGTGTATTTTTTTATTTTTTTATTTTATGGAAAATGAGACAAATATTGATGCTTTTAATATGTTGTGTATTTAAAAGGAGAGTTTTTAAAAATATATGAGATGAAGATAATTTAAGCAGTTGTTGTAATAGATTGACTCAAAAATCATCTTTCAGTAAGTTTTTCAGTGGGAAGTAAATTACATGTATTAAGTATGTGGTTTTTAAAATTAACCCACTCACTGCATATTTTCTTTACTACATATTTCAAATCTACATATATTTTAGAGTTAAAAATATACAAAAATTTTCTGTAAAAGAGGTTTTTCTTTTTTTCTTTTCTTTTTTTTTTTCTTTCCAATATAGAATTAAATCATAGAAAAAGGTTGTCAGAATACTGAAATTGAAGAATAGTGATGTAAAAGGAAAAATTTTTTAAATTAGTATTGGCTAAATTATGATTTATTTTATAAAATACAAAGGTAAAACATATATACTAATGAAAATATTTGCATAATGTAATATTTTTCATATCAATTTTGCACCTCTGTCGAACGTTTTCAATAGAAACTGAATTTTCAGATTCATCACTATCTACAGAGGAATCCGAGAAATTCTCATCAGTTCCGCTATAACTATCTTCAATATACTTGAAATCAGAGTCAGAATTACTATCAGTGTTGGAAATATTATCAGGAATATAGATTATATCACTCACGAAACCTTTCCTGTCAGACATCTTTGAACTCTGAAAAGCGCGAGCAAAACACTACATTATGTATTCTTGTATATTTGGCAAAAATGTGGACAATTAACACCATCCGTTAGTCCACATCTAAATAAAACAACTAAACATCACAGAAAAGCTAAAAGGAAACCTTGAAAGGAGAAAGAGCGGGTTGCACAGTTAAATAGACAGCGAAAATTCATCCCCGCAGAAATCACGGGTTGCACAAATTTTGCTACTTTTACGTTGCTTGTGGAAATTGCGGGATGCGCAGCGAGAGGGTTAAGGGTGAATGAATTATGATTAAATTAAAATGAATATAAACATATTAATATGTGTAGTAGTAGTATGAGGCATACAGTTATGTTATTTTTCTACGTATTTTATTTTTTAAATTTATTTTTTTATCAGATCATTGTGAATAAAAATATAAACTAAAAATTTATTCTGATTATTATTATATTAATAATCGTTATTATCAGTTTATTCATCTTTGTCATAATGTAAGTTTGATTGAATTTGTGTATATGTTTATGTTTTTAAAGTAATAAATAAGTTTATATTTGAGGCATTTTTGTTCTAAAAATGGTTCCTAGCTACGGCACTGCTTGTCGAGTACTGAACCGAAAGTTTTGATACAAAAACTTAACATCTATAGATATTGTTTGACTATATATTATGTTTTAGATGAGCTACAATTTTAAACTTTTATGCATTGTACATGCAGAAATGAAACTTAAATTTTACTCCGACCTTTTTCCCCTTTAATTCTAAATTAAGTGTAGTTTAAAGCAGTCTTTTGTAAATTTTTAAATGCCTTTGCATTTTGACTCAACTATTTGAAAGTATTTGTTGCATTTAGTAAATATAAAAATTCAATGTAATTATGTAATAAGTTTTAAATCAGTGGATTAAATTTTATATTTTAGTGTTACAGTAAACCCTTGCTGGATGTGAGTTTGCAGAATGGGATTTTACATGTACGTGGTATCTCAAGCGTTACCATTTAATTTGCCTAATGCTAGAATTTCATTCATATGTGGTTTAATGCTTATCTATTAGTACTGAATACTTGCTGGCATCAACTCTGGCCAGAAATTATAAACAGTTTTAAAGGATTTCCATCAATTGAAAATAAAACCAAAGAAATTGTGCAGAACCAAAGTAATTGTTGGCAAAGGATTTTCAGATATGGAAGAAGCCAAACAATTAATCAAGAAATGACAAATGAATAAATGTTGACTCAAATGAAGAAGGAAGAAGACATTTTATGAAAGGCATTGAAAATCTCTACATTTCTTATTGTGAAATTTTTAAAGACTGGTGTCACTAACCGTCCCAAGTAAAAATCACTAGCTTTTTAAAAATAAATAAATAAATGCATCATCACATACTTTTAAGCAGTAATAAAAATCCTTAAAATTAAAATTTGTTGTATTTTCCCTTTTTAATTATAATAACATTAAGGTTTGTTTAAATTATACATACTTTCTTAATTTGAATTATACTTAACATGCTTTTTTCCAGAGAAAGTTAACTTTGTGGGATGAGATTTTCCGTATGTGCAATGTATTTATTTACCCCGTGTCTGGCAGGAGTTTAATGTACATCGCAGATTTCAAAGGATATGAAATTTTGACACAGTTTCTGTGCTTATTGTGTGTGATATAACATGATAAAATGTGCTAAGCATTTAATTCTCTAATATTTTCTCTTCTGAAATTATTTTTTTTGTTGGCCATTTTTTTCCAGATCTATTCTTTAGATGGTTGGAGGGTTACTGATCTGCATGGTCTTCGTATAATTAAACCTGATTACAATGGTTATCTAAGAGTCACAAATAATGCCATGTCTGGATATGATAATTATTACTGGATGGCACCACCTGAATATCTGGGCAAAAAGGTGGGTTAGGGTAGGTGATAAAATAATCTGTTTTTATTTGGCAATTGAAACTTTCGTTTGATCTTTTTCATTGCTTTGCTCATATAGTACTATATATTATTATCTGCATTGATAATTTTAGGCTCTTTTTATTATGCTATTTTGTGAATATTGCATCTGTTATATTTTATACGTATATTTTTCTGGAAAATAATTTATTTCACTGTTACGACCATTAAAACAATATTCAGTATATGTTCATATCTGTACTATTTTGTTCTTGTTTTGTACATTAGCAGTTACTGTTTTGGGTGAGTTAATTTATATACATGGTTGTTAATACACAAATTTCAAATTAATTCACATTTAAACTACATGATAAAAGTTTAGTTGGAGACAAATTTTTATTCTTCATCAGCTGAATCTTTATTTAGTTAATTATCAGTTTTTATAACTTTCGGGACATAAACTTATTTATGACGTGCTATATTTTTGAAATAATAAATATGGAGCTTTTGATGAAGCCATTACAATTTCATAGTGAAGTTTCTTTTAAAAAATTCTCGAGGTATTACTAAATTACTTTTTGAAATACTGAAGGAACACATAGGAGGGAGAGAAGAAAAATAAAAAAAAACTGGGAAATTAGTTATAGGTAATTTTTCCTTCTGGTAACTTGCAAAGACAGATTTGTAAGGTGAAGAACATGGTTTTTAAGTAAAAACTTTAGATTTAAGCACTTATAATCTATTCACAGAGCTGTTCGGGATATCATAGAGCGAATTTGCATTTTCATTGATTATAAATTTTATTAATACAAAATTTCATTTGTGTTTCTGGGCGGTGAAAAGAGTTGGACAGCAAAACTGAAATATTGGCAGATGTGTGAAATATCACGCCAATATACACATTACCTGATGTCACAAATTACACATTACCTGATATGTATATTGTCATGCCAATATCCCCCAGATATTTTGCTTTTGAACCATTGTGAGCAAATTATATAGGTCAGATTAGCAGAATATTACCACACTTGTAAGATAATGTGGCCTGTATATCATAATTGAAGACATATCAGCAATTTAAAGCAGGACAAAATTTTTTTTTGTTATGTTTATATATATCAGTAGTGCAAGGGAGCAGTCACTAGTACTTAACAATGCAGCAAGACTTTGCAATGTATCTAAACTGGCAATTATTAGGTAACAACTATTAGGAGTGAGTCTGTTATTTCTATTGAATGTAGGGAAATAATTGTTGCTTTGAGATAAACTGATATATGTAAAGGCAGTAAATAGATTATGTATGCTGTAGAACTTACTGTGCAACTCAATTGATCTACCTGTGCTAAATTTTTTCATGGAAAAGCTCTTACATAGTAAAATTCTTCAGAAGCATTTTCAGTAGTTTCAGCATTAGACATCTTGGGCTTGACAATGTGAAATATATTATGTGTTGTTTGCTGATTAATCCAAATCCATTATATTTGCCACATTTAGGATAGTTTATTTTTGAAGCAACCCTTTAGAGACAACTTTCTTCTTAAAAGTTGATTAGGGATAACCTAGGCCATAATTTTATTGTATTCTCTTTCACTATTTGTGTTTGATAACATATCATTACCTAGAACTCAAAACAGTTTTGTGGATCATATACATCCAGTGTTTCTGATATTGTAATCTAAAGGTGGCATCATAAATCAGAATAATAACACATTAATAAATTTAGCAGGAGTGATGACACAGTGGTTTGATGAACATGAAAATTAGGTCAAGTGTCTTCCACAATCAAACATAATATCACGATTTGAGCACACTGCATGATTTTGAAGGAATGGGTTTATTGATGTTTTTCAGTGCAAATGTCATGTAGAGAAGTGATGACTGTTTTCCAAGAACAATGGTTCATAATTCATCTAGTGACTGTACAGCACCATTTCTCAAACTGTGGATTGTAGACCACAAGTTGTCCTTGAAACCTGCTCTTGTACAAATCAACACAAGGCCTAGATTTGCAAAAATGCCTTGATATTTTTAAATGAAATTAACAAGATTATTGGATATGTTAAGGCAACAAGAAACAGCATGATAGTCATGCACTTACGGGATTAGTTTCGAAGATTTAAATATAAAACCACCTTCAGTTGCAGAAATGCAAATAATGGAAGGGAAGCTTGTGCTCAGACTATAACAGTGGGAAGAAAGAAGTCAAGCTACTAGTGCCATCTGTTAATGAAAGGTGAAAAGAAGTATGAAATAATTCTCTTAAAAGCTGAAGGTGTAGACAGATTGGAATTAGGATTATTAATAGAACTGAAAGATTTTTACAAATGTGAAGGTTTTTAGAAAATCTAATTCATCGATGAAAAATGTGTTTTGTATGAGTACCAGTAGCATAACTTCATTCCTGCCATTTTTATTGCCTAAGCACAGGCTTCTCTTTTGTCATTTGCGCTCTGCTGCTGAAGGATGACGTTCTGTAATTAAACCTTCGAAAAAAGGTCCTGCAAGTTTATGCATGTCATGCTGATTCTTGTTGCTTAACATCTCCAACACTCGTTATTTGGCTTGCTATTTTTAACTCTGAAATTATCAAGATTTTATATAATTTCTTGATGACATATGGTTAAGTAAACTGGTAACTTTCTCAAAACTCAGTAAACTCAATGTATTCACAAAATTAAGAAACTAAACCTCCGTCTTCAAGGTAATTCTTTAACTATGGCTTTGAGAAATTAAAGATGTCTGAGAGGAAACGTGATTAATGAGTAAGTTGTATAAAACAGAAACTCTTCCACTATTTCCAATGTGAGAATCTTTTTAGTAGAAAATTATATATTACTGGAAAAAGATTATGATTGACATATGTGTGTATCTTGAAAGTGCTAAATGTAATGAGTTTGCATAGTAATGCAATGCAATGGGTTGATCTTTTCAATCATAATGTTTGAAAATAACAAACTGTCATTAAATGAAATAGAACAATTAATTGAACTCTGTAATGACACTGGACTCTAAATGAAATTCCGAACAGAAAGTATGGTTAATTTCTCGATCTCATTACTGGCGAAAATGGAATATAGTGTACAATGAGGGCTTTAAAATTATAATTCAGTTTGCTTCTATGTATCTGCATAAGAAAAGATTTTCATCACAACCAAAACAAAAACATAGGCCTAAAATCAACTTGATGTTGTGTATGGGCTGATTTCAGACTTATGCATACCAGCATTCATTCAAACATGGAACAGCTGTGCAAGAATCATAAGTCTCATACATATTATTAGTTGCGAGTGCCAATATTTGTTTAATTTTAAATTAGTAAGATAAAAGATTATCCAAACTCTATAAGCTTAAATTATTAAAAACAGATATAGCTCTTCTTTTATTAACTTAATTGATTAATACCAATATGAAGTTGAATGAAATTTAATTGCATTTTAAAAGTATACTGATAATGACATATGCTAGAAAATTACTTTTGAAAAGGACAGGAGCGGGGTAGTCTGCAGAACGTTCTTTTTTATAAAAGTGGGCTCCATTAGAAAAAAGATGACAAAAGCTGCTGTACAAGATTTTATTCTGCCCCTCCTAAGATGAAGTGGTGCTGATTTAGCTACAAAAAAGCTTCCTGCTGTGTTAAGAAATTATATCTTGAAACGAAATATTCCAGTTTCATTGTCTAATCTCTATGCATGGAAAAAAATGATTAGTTTGTAAGATTGAACATTTTATTATAGAGCGTTATATTGTTATTATTTTTTTAAAGCTTTATTCATATGGTGGAGAACTCAGGTATGTCATTGGATATTCTGTAATTGAAGATGATGGTATTCAAAGTGATGCTCCTGGAATCATCCTAGAGGTAGGAATTTTATGTGTAATAAATTTTCTTTGAATATTTGATGTTAAAAATGGCTACAATATCTGTTCTGTTATTTAGGGAGTAGGAATACGTATTGGATACTATTTTGGCTCACGAAAAATTCAAGGAAATATAACGGTAACACTTCCTCTGCAAGAGCGTGCTTGGTCACAGTTGACTGCTGCTGGTAAAAGAAGCAGAGTTGTGACTAAAGAAACATTTGCTGCTGTTATGAATAATATTACAAGACTGCTGATACGGGCAAAGTATCATCCAGATCAAGTTGTTGGAATGTAAGTAGCATATTTTTCTAAATTTTTATTTTAGCTCTAAATATGTAAGTATTTACAATTAAACTGTTTAAAGAGTTTTAGGACAGTGTTAACAGATCATATGTTAGAACATAATTAGGCTCCCCTAACATTGGGGATTAATCCGGACAGTGGTGTTTTTTTAGTGGTCCCCAGGGTTGCAAAAATGTTCAGGTTTTGGAAATTTTATCACAAATGTTTTAAAAATTTTAGGTCTATATTTTCGATATCGCGTTTTTTAACATTCTGTTATGGCTGTGCCTCTCTCAGGTCAATCTTGCAGCAAGTGCTCACACCGATTTTGATGGAGGATTGGCTGCTGGACTTGCTACAACTTTTTGCTTAGTCATTTGGCAACACAACAGGGGCTATAGTGTTTATATTATTTTCGTGTCTGAAATAACTTGTCTACATGTATTTGATTGTTTTATCATTATTTGTATTTTGTCTCATCGTTTAACAATCAGCAAAAGAAGATAAGTGTTTAATTTTAACCTGCAACAGGAATAGAAATTTTTAATGTGTATTATGACAATAACAGTGCATATTATGTAGCAATAAATATTATATGCATATTGTATATAATATTTATTGCTATATAATATTTATTTAAATATATGTTGTAGCAGCAATAGTGCAATAAATGTGCATTTATTGCATATTATGTAGTGGAGAATTTTCTGTTGCACATCAAGGAAAGGATGATATTAAAGACCATGTAAATACACCTAAGCATAGAAGTCTATTAATGCTTCTGCTTCAACAAACATAAGAGAATTTTTTCAAGTCAAATAGGGGAATAACAGTAACCTGGAGTTTGCTGCTAAAGAAGCTACGTTTTCATACTACACTGCTAGACACAAAATCAGTTTTAAAACATCAGACTCCTCATGTCAACCGGTTAAAAAGTTATTTGACCCCAAATTTTCATCTGCAAGAACCAAAACTGAGGCAATTAATGTTATTTTATCATTTATATTTAATAACACATTATACTGTTTGGAAAACATTAATTATGTAACAGTAACATAAATTTCTTGTTCAGTTGCAAAGTTCCACTGTTCAAGTCCTGTAATTGCTGTGTGTAGAATAAGGATTAATTTCTCAATCGAAATTTTTTCATTTTCAATAACGTCTCTGTCTTTTTCTTCACTATCGTAAGCGGTATTTTCTGGATCTAGAACCATACTTTAGATTTCACCATCCGTTAATTGATTGATGATTTGGGCATTATCGTCACAATGAAAAACTTCTGTTATATCATGTTCATTTATTACCTCTTCTCCACATTTCTTTACAAAATCCAATAACTGGAAAATTTCACTTTTAGTTTGCGATGTCCGAAAACCTTCAAACTCGCGGTTATCATCTTCATCGTCCTCACCATGTAATATGGTAGCTGGCCATAAATTATCCCAAGCATTTTTTAACGTATCTGGAGTTACATCCTCCCAACACACATTAACGCACATGCGTAAAGCATACCGAAAAAATATTTGTGGATTTGAGGTCTGGATTATAGATCATTCCAGATAATGGATGAACTTTGTACTGTAATAATAATAATAATAATAATAATAATAATAATAATAATAATAATAATAATAATGAAATACAATTTCACATATAATGTCACTAAAATTATTTACATATGTACAAAATTTTTAACATTATTGTTTAATTCTTTAGTAAATATCTTATGCAGCAAGTATAACCTAAATACAAGCTACAAACAATTTTGGGTTGTGGCTGATATTATGTAAATTTCAAAGAAGCTCCATTTAGTTTTAAATGAAAATTTTTATTTTTAGATTTTTAGAATGTATATGTGTCGTATTTCTTAGCTTAAGTTGATGCAGTTATTTTTTCTTTCTTAATTTTTTTTGTATGCAGTACATATTCATAAAAATCCTTTAAATGGCCTTTATTTTTTAAACCGTTAGTCATAGACATATAGTTACAGAAATGTTTTAAATAATGAAAATATTCATCTTTTGGCATTTTAAAATGTTATTAAAAATTACAAAATCTAACTTTTTATATGGTTAGTTCTTGTATATTTAGGAAAGCTTTATACTCATTATGAAAAGGGAAATAGAGTATATTTGACTCTCATATATCAAAAATTGTCTTTTGTTCTATGAACCTTCATATCACTTAAAAAAAAAGGGGGGGGCGCTTTGAGATCCATTGTGGAGAGTGTTGTAGCTAGAAGTGGGAAGGGGCGGGAAATCTTTATTGGTGGTTTTTGTCATATAAGATTTTATTTTTATTTTTTACTTTGTTTATTTATGTTAATATAGTCATTTTTATTACCTAATTATTTTTTAGTTTTTTATGACTATACTTGCAATTGAAAGAAATAAACCTAAAAACTATTTCTTTTACCTTCATACTACATTTCAACTTTCATAAAATAAATCAGTAAAATGCATGACCAGGTCACTGTGTTATTGCTTAAATTGAGAGCATGCACCACAATTGGAGTTTTTTATTCTTTGCACTCTTTATCACATGTTGCAGTTGGAAGATCAGTTGATATATAAGTTGGTTTGAATCTGAAAATTGTCTCATCAGCAATAGGAGTAGTATCGTGACTGATGTCTTACAGACTACTTGCAGATAGAAAGCATTCAAATTTTGTTCTGCAAATGGATTCAGCATGTGGTGGAAAATAATCTTATTTGATCATACATGTAATGACCCATTATGCCATGTATTTTATTTTTCACGCAATGGAAAGAAATATAAACCAGAATCTGACTTAGAGCAACCATGATAAACAGAATAAAAACTAGATATAAAATGAAGGAAGGAAGAGAGATACTTCATAGATTTTAAAATTTGAATTACTCAAAGGGATTTATTACAATTGATTAGAATTATTTCATTTTTTAAGTATTGAATGATTTTGGACAAATGCTGCATAGATATATTTAAGAATTAAGCTGAGAAAACATTTGCTAAATTTTATATGTTGCTTAGTTTATAAAAGTGTTAGTAAATAAAGAAGAAAATTATGAAAAGTAAAGGAAGCAAATTTTTTCCATGATATTCAATAGATTGTCTGGTTTCTCTTTTATGAATCAAACAAACAAAGTTTTAAGCTTGTTTATGACAGATGGAAATAAAATCATTTATACATTGAAACATAACATAAAACTAAAAAATTAATAACTTGCTCTGCTGCTGTTTTGTAATACATTAGGAAATTGCAGACTGATGTTCAGAATTGTAGAGAAGTACATGATAATGCTGCTGTTATAGATGGGATATCAAATTATTGCAGTAATATTTAGTTCTAAAGTATAGATTATTTCAAACAAATGTGCCGATTTGTTCTGTATTCAATTAAATTATTGGGTACTTAGATATAACACAACTACCTCAGTAGAAGTTGCCAAATTTACAGAATTTGCCAAACTCTGGCAACCATGCTCATAACCATTCTTCCAGCAACCATGTTCATAACAATTATCAGTCAAGCAACACTACCCTTTTCATATGCATTCTTTTTTTTTTTTTTTTTTCTGTGTGTGTGTTCCCAATTTCAAAGGTTTTTATAAACAAATCATGAATTTTTTTTTTTTTTTTCCCCTTCCCCGTAAACATAGTTTTAAAATATAAGCTTGTGAATTTTACCAGCAATGGAAGAAGTTGTGGTAGAACTTTTGCAGCAAACAGAATTTTGCCACACTTGAGAAGAATACCCCCTGCTCTCCCCCCCAAATATAGAAAGATTCGGAGAAGAATGTGTTTTGTTCTTTTAATATATCAGATAATCCTTATTTAATAATTAAAATTGTATTTTTTAGATTGCTAAAGTATGTTTTCTTTTCATATGTCAGTAATGCATGCCAACTTATCATAAATATTGATAGATTGAGAATCTTTTTTAAAAAAGTTGCAAAACGCACCAACTTGCTCCCGATAAGTAACTTTTACCATTTCATCTGGAAAAAATTGCCAGATTGTGCCAAGGTGGTTGTACCTAATACGTAAGTACCAATTATTGTTTTTTTTGGGGGGGGGTTCCCCCAAATAAGATGATTAACCGTTATTATTTTTGACAGGGAAGTAGACTTCTTTTAGAATAGATATGGGTAATAATTAATAATTTTCATTTTTTTAAAAATTATTTATACAAATTGCTGAAAACTGTTCACTGTTTTTCATTTTTTAGACTGTATAATGTAGAAATGGAAATAGCAGATAGAGCATCTAGTAGTTTGAAAAAAATGCTGACTGTTGAAAAATGTGAATGTCCACTTGGTTATGCAGGCCTGTCTTGTGAGGTAAATATATTTTTATTTTCATTTGCTGTTGTTGTATTGGTTACTGAAGGTTAAGTATTCAATTATTCTGATGATGACTAGAAAATTGCCTGATTTGATAATGAATCGTTATGAGGGGAGGGATTTTGTTGATATTTTTCCAAACAAGCTTCAAGTTTTTGTAATTTTTCAGATTTACAAGAATATTTTACTTACTGTCATTAGAAGGATTTTTCTGATATTTTCATCTTTTTAAATTTATTACACTGCATCAAAAATGCAATGCAGGATTTGTAAAAAATCTTAACTTTTAATTGGCTTTTCTTTTTTTAAATGCGAGATCAAAATTATCTGTTTTTCTTACTATATGAGATTTAATGTTTTTCACATTTTTAGTTATGTGAACTTGGATACAGAAGAGTAAACAACACTCTGCATCGTGGAATATGTGAATTATGTGAATGCAATGGCCATGCAAATTCATGTGATCCTTATACTGGTTACTGCATTGTGAGTTTTCCATATGAAATGCTTATAAATCTTCTAATATCAAATGCTTATTAAACTTCTGTAATATATCTGTCATTTAAGAAGAAATATTTTCTTATGCACTCATGTTTTTATTAAATAATATTAACAGAAAAATATAACTAAATGTCATGTTATTGTATTACATTTTATTATTGATATTATTTGCCTGTTTCTTTTCTTACTATCTGTTTTATAAACAGTTTGCAGTAAATAAATAAATAAAAATATAAAAGTGATGCTTATAGTGGCATTAAAATAAAAAAATAGAATTTTTTGTAACTATTGTAAATGATGTTTTTTGTGTGATTAGTAAAAATAAAATCATTATGAGTTTGTAACTAGTGTGACTTCCAGAATACAATTACTAAATCAGCAGTGTTGCTTATGCATTAACCATTCGATTCACATTTAATCTTTAAGCACTGGAATTTGTCATATATATTATGTTAAGGACGCCTATTCTAAATAACATTGCATCTTATATTTTGTTTGTCATAAATTCTTACACATTAGTATATATAAAATTTTTTTTAGAACTGTGCTCACAACACAACTGGTCATCACTGTGAAATGTGCGTTGAAGGATTTCATGGCAATCCATTGAGAGGGAGTCCAGATGACTGTCAACCTTGTGCATGTCCTTTACTGAATTCTGAAAATAATTTTTCTCCAGTATGTAAAGATATTGTAACACATGGTGCGACTGATTATGTGTGTACAGATTGTGGTCTGGGTTATGCTGGGAGAAAATGTGAAAGGTTAGTTTATATGATTTATTTAGAATAAAATTTTGTATTTGTATGAGGAAGTACCCAGTATGGAAATTAAATAATAAGGCTGTGTTAAAACACTCTTCTAAAGCTGACCTATTGTGTTCTGAAAATTATTTTTTCTGTGATAGAGAAGATACTTTTCAATGGCATTGCATAAGTAAATCTCTCAAAAACCATTATTCTGAATGCAAAATTATCTTCATTGTGTATATATCTTTCAATATGTATTACTACTTTGTGTGTGTTTGGTTGTTTGTTTTTAGCAGTCCTGGTTTTCAAATTTGTTACCCTGCGATATTTTTTCTTCTAAAAACTAAAATCCTGTTTCAGAAAAACACTTCTTTTCTGACAGTGAAGAGAACCAAAAAAACTGTGATATCCAGTTTTAAGCAATTATTTAAAAGAATAAAAACGTACAAATTCTTATTTTCCTAATCTGATTTGTGGAATGAAAAATATTCTAAAGCTTTTCAGTTAAAAAATGCAGTTTTATTATTTTAATGCTTCATTAAACAAAAATAGGAAATTTTCCAACCACTCTGATTTGGGGATACAGGATAATTAGAAATCTATCATATCATTTAATGAAACAAGTAAAAAAAAACTTTTCATCAACTTAATTGTTATTATTAAATAATATGACATTGCTGTGTATGAAATTGCAGTTAATGAGCTTCATGTGTTTTGATTAATTAATTAATTGCTGCCTCTGCATGTATTAGATTTTTATATTATTGTATTAAATCTGAAGGTTGACTTTGCTTAAAGCATATATACATGTTTTTACATGTGTGTGCTAAATTAAATTAGCACCACTTGTTATTTAAGTGAATAATGAGTAAATCGAAAATTCCTGTGATTGTTCTGCAATATTTTAGATGTTGAAGCATAAGAGCAATAACTGTAAATATGCATGTAATAATAAATGCATTTATTTTCATTTTATATTATTTTCAACTTATTATGCATGTATGTTTATAATGAAGAAGTTTAATTATTTTTCTTTTTTAATGATAGTAAAATATTAATTTCAGTGTACCTAGAGAGTAGGGAGTTTTTTAATGCTCACATGGATAAAACCATATTTTTTAAATATTACATTAAACAACAAATTATAATAAATGACCTTTTTGTATATATCATATTTTGTGCATTTTTAACTCATATTTTATTTAATTTTTTATTTTGATACCAATGAAACACTGCAATCAAGTGCGTATATAAATCAACTGTGACTTTTATATTACTTTTATCTTTGATTTCTTTTTGAATTCTGAATGACCAGGAGTGCATTGAAATTTGATTAAAAATTTCATGGAATATCATATCAGGAAGTTTAAGGCCTTAGTGGTGTTTATAGTAGTTTAATAGTGGCTATGTGAAATTTTATGCACTGTTAAATAGGTGTTACAAATCAAAGAAAAAAATAAATATTGTGTAATTGCATACTGTATATTTGCAGGATATTAAAAACTTCTTTGTTTCCTTGGTATATTCTTTCTACTGAGTTGTAAGTTAAATATGTAGACAAGATAAGTAGAGAAATGGAAATTTGAAATGAGCACTTGCACTCTTAGGATAATTAATATGGAAAGCAAAAATAATTTATAGCAAAAATAATTTATGAATTTTTCATTTGATATGTTTTTACTGTCCCCCCCCACAATGAAAACATTTCGAAAATTGTAACTGTTCTTAATAAATCCTATTTATCCTAATTACTTCCTAATTATTACTTTATTTGGAAGGAACTTTGGAAGCTAAACTAAAAAATGGTACTATCAAAATTATGTGTCAGATACCATTTTTTTAAATCTAGATTATTTTCATCACATACTAGGTTTGCTACCATTTGATTACTATAATACATAATTTAAATTATTTATAAACAAAATTTTTTTAAAGAAACTGCTTACATAAGCAAAATGGACTAAGAGTTAATTATTAATTTTAATTATGAATTATTAAATGCTGTTGTATTTCATAATTAGAACAGGTTTTCCATAGCGCTGCTTCTGTCCCTGTGGCCATTCTGAAAAATTCTGAAAATTTTAAAATAATCCTCCTTGTGAAACTCCATGCATAAAATGCAGTTATGAGTCAATTATTTATGAAGACTATATTTTGTTCTGTGTGGTTTGTTATATTAAATTTCCATGTTTCATATGTAAATAGGATAGAATAGTAAAAATCAGACTGGAGCAATATCAAGAAATTCTCTTCCATCAGCAGCAAAATTGTGTTTTATGAAGATATTGTTAACAAGCAAAAATTTTATTACACCACCTTCTCATGAAATTTGACCTCATCAAAGAGTTTGTGAAAGTACTGTTAAATGGGGTAATTACTTTCACTTTTTTTAGCCTGTTAGAATATTGCTTTTTTCAGGCAGAAGCCATGCTGAAAAATGATATTTCTTTTGGACTCGATTTTGGAAAATTTGTTTTAGGTGAAACTTTGAAATTCTCCTTTGTGATACTAAACAAAGAAACAAGGAAATTTTAAGGAATGTCATTACTAACTTTTTTATAAACAGTAAGGGTTCTGATTCTGTAGTCATAGTAGAAGATATGCTACAAACATTGAGATCTTCTTTGTAGGCATGCAACTGCACTTTTTAAATTCACACGAAGGCTCTACTCCCCCCCCCCCCCCCGAAAAAACCTGCAGAAATAAAGATATAAGATAATTCTTCTGTTAAGTTGTTATAGAATTAGTAAAAAGTACCAGGTTTCGTATGAATGCCAACAGAAATAGCAGTAAAGGCAGCTTTTTCTCACATAAGGCTGTAGCAGTGAAAAATATTTGACTCAGTTTTCTTGTGTAACAAATTTTTGATTTAATTGTGTTTTGTAAATATTTGTTCCATTTTCTAGTTATGTAAAATATATTGTTTTTTCCTTATTCAGTTCAACAGGCTGAGTGCACCACTCAAGAAAGAGTAATATACACATTGAAGTAATATTGTGTGTGAAGAAGGAAAAGAAAAATTCAGATTCAGCATTTCCCCAAATTGTAAATTCAGTATAAATTAAGAAAAATTCCTTGAAACTAAAGTTTGGAAGAAGTTTCATCAGTATATCAGATATAATATTTATGATTTATAATTAATGATTCATTATAAATTTCATTCATTTTTCTTTTACAACTTTAAACGTTTCAAAAGTGGGAATGACATGTGCTAACAAAATTGAATGGGAGGAGGGAAGTAAGAATGATTACTTATTGAAGAGGGAATTCTTTGAAGAGAATTTATTTATTCTCCTCAAATGAGAGATTTTATTCTTTGAGGAGGGAATGAAGAATGTTGCACACAATTGTAGAAATGTAACTAAATCTTTTTAAATGATTTTGTAATGTTGTCTTTGGTTTAGTACCTCATCTTAACCATTAAAGCAAATTCATAAAATCTTTGCTTCTGGGAGTTTCTGGCCTAAATATATTTTTAAATAGCTAATATATATATATATGGTTTAGTACCTCATCTTAACCATTAAAGCAAATTCATAAAATCTTTGCTTCTGGGAGTTTCTGGCCTAAATATATTTTTAAATAGCTAATATATATATATATATTGTATTCTGTATCTTGTTTAATTAAGTATCATCTTAAAAACTGTTGAAGTGCTGTTAAGTTTGTAGTATAATTAAATTCTTTCACACATTTCTAATGCCCTAAAATATCCTGTGATGATGAACATAGATTTAAAAATTGTTTGAAATGTATCTTTTTTCATTTTTATATATTTATTTATTTGTATTAGATGTGCATCAGGATTTTTTGGAACACCTGGTTCTCCTGGAGGGTTTTGTCAGCCATGTAATTGTACTGGAAATGTCAATACATTTGATCCAGATTATTGTGATCATATCACTGGTCAGTGTCTGAAATGTATTGGCAACACAGGAGGTTGGCATTGTAATGAATGTTTGGAGGGACATTATGGAAATGCTTATCATCATGTTTGCAAACGTAAGTACTCACTATTTTCATTTAAACAATACATGTTTTACTTAGCACTTAGAGCAGTGTTTTTTAACTGCAGTTCTGCATAATCCTTAATTTCACTAGAAGCCTCTTGGAGCTTTGTACGATAGTGAGCATAGTGATGATTTTGAAATTAAAAATATACTGTGCTAATTTATAATTTCTGTTTTTTACAAAGTATTTCATAGTTTTATAATTTCCAAATATATGATTTAATTTCTTTTTCTGTGGCATGCAAAACTTTTCAGTGTAAATTTGAAGAATACTTAGTTATAGATCTTATTAAAATTTGAAAGATATGTTTTGGAATTATAACTATCCTGATACATGATATTTGAGCATTATTAGAGTTTACCTCTTCCAATTTATTTATTGTTCCACATTATGTTTATTCTTTTATCCATTTGTGTATTGGAAAAATTTCAAATATTCTCTTTCACATATTGCTGCTTTTTTGTGCATCAAAGGTAATAATTTGTATTTCCTAATTTTGTATTACAAACACTTTTTAAACAATAGTGTAGCTTTATTGATATGTGAAACACTTAAAACGTATATTTGAGATAGTAAAATGCTGTAATATTTAAATGGCTTGCTGCAATCAGTTTAAATAGTATTAATTAAGCATGTAGCACTTTATTTTTTTCTTTTATTGGTTAAAATGTTATGTAATTTTATACTTTTCTTACCTTATCTGTACAATAAACAAAATAATTTTGTTCAATGCTAACTAATTCTTCAATTAATATTTTTGTGTTCATTCCTTATAATCTGCATGATTTTCTAATGATTTAAGATTAATTTACTGCAATAATGATTTCATTTTAAATAACATTAAATGCTGGCTTTATTTCAAATTCTGATACATTTTTTTTTTCTGAAATATGTGTTTGTTTATTTTTAGATTTGAGTTATATTTTTGGTATTATTAAAGCGGAGGTAGTTAGTTTTGATGGTAGTAATTTTAGATTGTGACAGTTTGCAGATGAGCACATCTCTGGTTCCTTTCAGCATGCGGATGTAGTCCTTATGGTTCAGAGAGCTCAGTCTGTGACAGTGCCACTGGTCTGTGTGACTGCAAACTTAACTATGAAGGAAGAGAATGTGACCGCTGTATCGTAAGTAGAAAGTGCTTCTAATTTGTTTCCTCCTCCCCCTTTTTTGTTTTTTACTCTTGTGACTCAATTTTAAATTTATAAATTTTTTGTCTTAAAGCTAACAAAATGATTTCAGTCTAATACATCGAAATATAGTTTAAGACAAATTCAGCTAGCAGTAAATCAACAATGCCTTGCTGTGGAACTTCAGTGATTGTAGAAACCTCCTGTAAACTGTTTTTATTTGCAATTTTTTTATTGGCAGATTAAAAAAGTTTTATTATTGTTTAAGGTACTGGTTATTTAAGAACTGAGAAGGTTAGCACAGGGACTAAGCAGTTGTAAGATGGTAAGAAAATTGTGTGAATGAGTGATGTATGTGTCTTGATATTTCTAACTATTTTTATTTTTTGGGGGGAACCATTCATTTTATGATCGAGATAATATATTGCGGCATACTTATTTTGCTTTTAAATTCTCTCCAAATTATACAGAAATGCAAGAAGGTAGACAGATGTTGTTGATATGTTTAAATGTTTAATTGGCTACTGTGAATATTCTCATAAATTTGTTAACAAATAGCTCAGTATTTACTCTTGTTGAAGCAGGTTTTCTAAATTTACACTTAAATTCACCATAAGTTATGACTTCATATGATGACTCTTAAATATTCCACTGCAGCAGTTATTCTTATCTGTGTTGTTACCATTCTACAAATAGTGTTTTGTTGATATTTACAACAAAATAGAGAAACAATTACTTTTTTGCTAATATGCAGCATACTGCACTTTGAATTCAGTAGTTTCAATTGTTTTCACATGATTCATATGAATATATTATATTTATGTTATTATCACTGTTTAATTAATACCTTAAAATATTTTGTGATATTTTTTATATATAAAATTTTTATATATATAAAAAAATATTAAAGTCTTAGGTTAAACCACCTTTTTTTTTCTTTTTTGCCATGTACTTGGTCTTCATACAAAAAAAAAAAAAAAAAAAAAAAAAAAAGAAACTAAAGAAATAGATCCTCTTAATGACAGATAACTTTATTAAAAAAATTTTTTGATTAATTTTGGTCAAACATATGTAACCACTTGAATATTTTTTTCATGTATCTTTTCTAGGATTAAAAAAATATCAAATTATTTACAAATTTATTAAAGCATAAATTTAATATTATTTATCAAATTATTTATCCTGTAAGTAAAAATGTTTCTGATAACTAAAAAAAATTACATGTTATAGATTTGAAATTTTTAGAATATAAATGTTCTGTTTGCTTGTGCAACGATATTTTAGGTTTTGAATTCTGCGAATACATTTCCATGCAATTTTCTCCCTTTTTTTTATTTAGAGTGGATTTGGCAATGTTGAACTTGGTTGTGTTCCATGCCAGTGCAATAAAACAGGCACTAAGAGAAACAGAGAGGATCAGTGTGATCCTGTATCTGGAAAATGTGACTGTAAACCTGGAGTATTTGGCCTGAAGTGTGATACTTGTCTTGAAGGTTACTATAGCTTCTCTGAAAATGGGTGCAAGTGTGAGTAATTTTTAAAAAAATTATCATAATGAATATTTCATATGTAGTTGCTATTAACCATGGGATGTGTATTTTATATAAATAGTGTCTCCATTTTACATCTTACTCTTTTTAAATGAATTAAATTGTGTAATATATTATGCATTTGAAGTTCTGTAAATGACACTGGAATTGTAGATATCTGCATATAAAATGTGTGTCTCCTTCAGATGCAATAAGAATTATAGTTTAGTTTTAATGAAATATAATTTGAAGATAAGTTCTTTTTTTATTACGTTTTATTGTTTCATTATCAGTTTCCTTTTTCGGTCTCTGATATCTAGCATTTTTTAATGTATTTTCCAATTTTATCCTTTGTGCATCTGTATCGCAAGTATCAATCTTAATTTTCATTACTTTTAGTTTAAGGTGTTTATTTATATAAGCATAAATTTGGGACTTGTAGATAAACATTCTAAAGTCCTTATAGGAATGTTATAATCCATGTCTTAAACATACACAATTTTATTTAATGTTTATTTAGCGCTAATCATTATGCCGTATACTGATTTATAGGGTGTGGCTGTGATGTTAATGGAGCTCTTAGCGTGCAGTGTAAAGATCCTAGTGGACAGTGTATATGTAAAAATAATGTAATAGGAAAAAACTGTAGCAGCTGTATTGTAAGTATTTAAAATGTGTTAATGTATAACTAATTAACTACTAACTAATCAATGCTAAATGAAGTCTCACCAGCCAAATAAAAATAGGATTTATTATTAAATCTTCCTTCAGTTATTTCAAATTTGAAGGAAAATCAAATGATAAGTCGTCAAAGTTAGTAAAATATTAATTGCTTAAACTTTTGATTATTTTATTTCTAAGCATTTGATTGAGCAGTGCTAATAAGAAAGATATTTTATTGAATGCTACAAGGGAAAAAATTTGCATTTATGAAAATTTGATGTCACATCTAATCAGTTTTTATAATAAGCAATATTATTTCTGAAATTGAACTGTTATTTAAAATGTAAGTAGTGTTTTAACATTTTATTGAAATATCTGACCTATAAATCGTGAATGCTGATGCAGTCACGATGTTTTTCTCAGCACTACTGTTTTATCTGTGACTATATATTATCCATAACAATTCAATTTGTTTGACAACAAATTTCTTTACAGAAAAGGTTTTTGCATAATGTAGAAAATTCCAATAAAGCAAGAAATAATATTATTTCACTCAGATATTGAAACTAGATGTTGTGTATTAAATTTACATTAAATAGTCCTTTCTGTTATTTCATTATCTGCACTAACATTTGTTTCATCAAATAATTACGAATAATGCATTTGTATATTGTTCCTTTTTTCCCCCTCCTTTACTTTTCTTTGTATTACTGTTTCGGAATATTTTTTTATTTATTCACGCTCTAAACCATCAAACCATATGTATATTATGTTCTGCAATATTTAACCTAATACTTTCAATTAAGTAGGCATATAGATCTAAATCATCAATCATTATCAGAAGGAAAACTGTCCAATACAATGCAGTAAGGGCATTTTAGAATTATAAACAAGAAGATACTTTTCTTAAACTTCAGCATTTTAGAAGCAATCCCCTGATCGGCTAGAGTGTTCATTTTATTTTAGAGTAGGCTCCAATTAATGTGATCGTGCTTGTCCACTGGTATTTTGATAACATTAACTAAATGAATAAAAATATCCTTCCAAAATCGCAAGGAAATTTAACTTATTTTATATAAATATAACTAGAAACATATAAATAGGTACTTTCACAGCATTTTCATGAAGAAAATCCAAAAAATTGCTTATGAACTGTTTATAATGTCTTTAATGCAAAAGTTCATTTATTATGTTTCTGGAAAGTAAGAACCCTAATCTTACACTCAGAGAACATCTCTCACTGAAGAACTTGCCAGTATAAAATTTAAAATTAGGCAAAAAAAGCAACCTTAGTTTGGCAGAGATGCTTTTAGCGAATTCTTTATTCAGGTAAAAAGATTCTGCAAAAGTAATTTTGCTCCTGAAGAAGAGGTGCATGTGTCTGATAACTCTCAAAATCTATAGCGTTACTGAATATCTGCATCAAACTAAAGTTTTATTTAAAACCTAATTTTAAATGATCAAGTAAAAAAACTGTTTAATAACTTAATCCTTTACTTTGCGACATTTTTCTGTCACTTGGTAATTTTTCTAACTAATTTTGATCTTATTTGGCAACTTTTTTTCAATTTAAAAAATTTATTCTGTGTTATTTTGATCATATTAACCAAATTGTTGATCACAATAATCATGATGTACTTTCAATGTTTTCATGTACAAACGTCAATATGAACTTCATCAGTTCGATTAACAACATCTGAATGATAACATTAACCACGATCACATTAAGTGGTATCTACTTTATTTTATTTTTTTCAAGAATTTTATGGTTTCTTTTTTTAATATAGCCTGGATTTTGGAATTTGTTATCTGGGAAAGGGTGTGAAAAGTGTAATTGTCATTCTGTTGGCTCAGTAAGTGAGATTTGTGATGAGTTGTATGGAACTTGCAAATGCCATCCAGGAGTTGGTGGTGATAAGTGTGACAGATGTCTACCTGGATATTATGGACTTTCGGAAACTGGTTGCAAAAGTAAATATATATATGAAATCATGAATTAGTTCTATAACTGCATCTAAATTGGCTTGTTATTAAGATTACTAGATGTTTTTAGAAAAAGAATTTTGAACTCTTATAATGTAAAACATTTTAAGTAACACTTAGCATGTTTTTTCCTGGTATAAGTATCCTTCTTTGTTGTGAGAGTGAATATTTAATTATAACTGTGTATTATTAATATTGGTATAATGCATGTAGTTTTTAGTAAGCTTAGACTGTAAATGTTCTGTATTTGACTTAGCAGAAACATTTGATATCATTATTATCTCTCTCTCTCTATATATATATATGTGTGTGCAAAATAAAAAAACATGTAAAACAGCCTTACAATTTAATTCAACAATGCCTCTTTAAGTCCTCATTTTTAATTTGGATATTTCCTCTCTGTATTCTAGAGATAGTATTATCTTTTCTAGACTGCGTCATTTCTAGAACAATCAATGTTACATAGCTTACGTGATGCTAATGACATAGCTGATTCGGAACTTGAACTCAAAATTTTGAGAACTGAAACCTTTCTAACCTAAATCAAAACCTTCTCTTGGTGAGCACACTTTTGCTTCAGCTCTGTTGCAGCCAAGATGCTACTTTATTTGCTTTGTTGTGCTGCTAACTATGCCATTATCTAAAATGTGATACTCTACATAAAATTGTGGGGTGCGTATTGCACCTATGATCATGTGTGATGAAAAATATGTTTTAGATAAGTTATTCATGTCAATCAATAAAAATTATGTGTAATTCAACAATATTTGTCTGCAAGCCTCTCCTTTGAGTATCGTCTTTTCTAATTATGGAATAAAGTGTCTCTAAGTTTTAACTAGGAAAACCATCATGAATCTGTTGTCTCCTAGGCATCATATTACAGTTTCATAAATTTTTCATTTTAAAATAAAACGATCTCAGTATTATTTCCCTGTAATATGCTGCTGAAAAATTAATCAATTTTAGACAAAAATTAAGAAATTTTGAGCAAAATTCACAGAGACACGAAGGAAATGAAAATCAGTACCAGTAAAAATCCAAAATTCTCATAAATATGTAAAAAATCAACCTACAGTAAACCAAATAAGAAGAATTGCTGTAAACTACAGATATGTGAAATACAAAAATTACAAAAGATATGTAGGAAGAAGAATTGCAATCAAATTCTGATTTAGTGTCATCAAAAGAAAGGTAGATCAGATTCTTGAATCTTTCCCTTCATTAAAACCACTGCATTTCTATTCATCCAAAATTAGCTGGTGAATCATTCTAAATTATTTAATTATAACAGTTCACCCGAAAACTCTGAATGCCTCTTCTACGCAGAGGAATCCTGAAAGTATACAAAAACAAATTCATATGTAATAAATTCAATGTCCAGTAAAGTAAAAGAATAATTAATAATTAGACATATTTTGCTGAAATTAAACCCGAACAAAATGTAATAATGCAAAATATACATGAAAATTAACAGAGAACTTAATTCGGAACCTACTGTTAAGCAAATGAAGAACAAAAGACCAAAATTTAAAAGTACAATGCCAAAGGTTGCTAGTTTGGCATTGTTGGAGATACAAACTGGTGATGGAAAGTTTGAAATCACCTAAAAAGGGAATTAAAAGCTAGTAGTTTTTAAACTTTTTAATTTGGAAAGCATGCAGTAAGAAAAAGGAAAAAGAAACAAATGTTAGAAAATTTTCCTGTACCTAAACTATGCAGATTGAAGATTTACTTTTAGTTATTTGATAATCCTGAAAGAATTGTAGTAAGATAATGTGATGATGTGTATTTGAAAAATGTGTGAACTAATTCATTCAGAAACTGTAACTATTTCAAAACAATTTATTCTTTCCATTTGCAATTAAGATTTAAGAGTATTAAAAGTTACTAAAAACAAATTTTATAAACTTACACTATTAAACCACTATCTATTCATTTATAGCAAAACTTAATAGGTGAACTTACAAATGAGTAATTGTGTAGTTGGGAGAAAGCATGTATCACATTCTGTCTGGACTTTTTTTGGGGGGACAGGGAAGACTTACTTTCATTATAGCTTTTATTAATTTTTGCTCAGTTTTTAAGTAAAAATCTTTGCTTTATTAAGTACCTTTGCTTTTTTAAGTACAATCTTCATCCAACCTGAATATTTAATTTTGAAGTCTTTTTCATTTCCTTATACGAATGTTTTCTTATTTTTAGTTTTACCATAAAACTTTTATAATATTTGAATGTCTGTTAAAGGTTATATTGTATTTTCAGAATGTGAACCATGCAAAAATTCTGGACACATTTGTGATCCAAATACTGGATTGTGTATATGCCCACCAAATACTGAAGGAGAATATTGCCAAAGATGCACTTCTTCATCTTGGGGTTATGACCCTTTACATGGATGTAAAGTTAGTTTCTCTCTCATTATATTTTCCTTTAATGGTCTATTCTTGAAATATTGAAAAGAATATTCTATTCTTAAAGCATTTGAAAAGACATTATTTTTTTATCATTTGCTTTTGTATTTTAACCTCATATTGGAAAAATGTTTTTCAGCCGTATTCATTTTTTTATTTCTAGCCTTGTGACTGTGATAAACAAGGCTCTCCTAGTGATGATATTTGTGATGTTGATAATGGTAACTGCATATGTTATGAAAGATTTGAAGGTCGTCGTTGTGACAAGTGCCGTTTTGGACATTATGAATTTCCTTCTTGTCATAAATGTGAGTGTCAGTATGATGGCACTGAATCTTCGCAATGTACTGTTGAAGGCCTCTGTCAGTGTGATAACATTGGACATTGTCCCTGTAAGGTGAGATTTTTATTTTTTATTTACTTTTTCTTGAACTAAGTTAAAAATATTCATTTTTGATTTTATGTACAATATATGTAAGAAGACATTTTTTTCAGGCAGAGGCTGCGTTCCATATTTTCAAAACTTTCTTTGGTTATTTCTCAAAAGTATTTATTATGGCCTATCCTAAATTTCACAAATTCAAAATTTGACTGCTTTTTGTTCTTGTTTAAAGGTTTCTTTTAATACTTTTTTTTTTTTAAGTTTTGAACTATGGGGAAAGTTTTAACATAGATTTTTTTGTTCATTAGAAATATTATTGCTGATTTTTAAAATTATCTTTCACTCAGTTTTATGACACAATAGCTTTTGAATTTTTTAGCACAGTGTGAATTTTTGTTCAAATAAATGATAAATAAAAAAATCTGTTTTGTTAAGCAATATTCATTAACAATTCCTGGAATATCAGAAGACATGTTCATATTTATAATGATTTGATAACATATATCGGGTTTTAATGAAAGTTTCCCGCTACTGCAACTATCGTCTGTGCAAACAGTTCCCATTAGCAGGTTTAATCATATTTTGTCAAATGATTTTTGGCTTTTGAAAAAGACTTACTTTAGAAAACTGTTTTGTGAAATTTGTAAAAAGATATCTTATCATTAAGTACAAGCTAACTGAAATGGAATTATGATGCTACCAGATTAGAATCATCATTTACTTCCTGTTCTGTTGCAAAAAGTCAGCTGCAGAATGTCACCAAAATCGTGTGTATAGCTTTAAGTACTAATGTTTTATCATATGACTCTGTGATGAAAGTTTGGTACGGAAGGTTAAAAAACAAGGACAATGACATTCCTCGAGAAGTGCCGTGTCCATTAGTCGCACTATGCATCACATAAACTTGATGTACAAGTTCATTCGCTGGGTGCTGCATGACCTGATTCAAGAAGATAAGGACAGACGAGTTCAAGCCTGCACTAATCTGCTTGAATGTCAATGCAAAGACTGAAAAGTGGATTTATTTCAACAACACAGGCCAAAAAAAGTGGGTTGGTCTGCACCCAGTAAGCCCATCATCAGTGTTTTGCACAGTTTTACTAAAAAAAAGATCATGCATTGTGTCTAGTGGGATTACCGTAGTATTTATCCACAAGAAGTATTTGAAAACAGGTAAAACCCTCGACAGTAAGGTGTACAATGAGATGCTAGTCCATGTTGATGCTGCTATCAAGGAAAAATGTCGAATTGTGTTCCTGCAAGAAAAGGTAGTGTTCCATCAAGATAATGCAAGACTACATGTATTTGCATTCACTGGTTGAACTCTGCATGGATTCAAATGGGATCTTTTATCACACCCACCATATAGCTCTAACATCATTCCTTTGGACATCTATCTTTTTTCACACTTGCAGCTACATCTTGCTGGTGCTATCTTCCATTCTGCACATGACGTCTGAAATTGAGGTTGATCTTTTTCTTGAACTTGCGGTCACCAAGTTTCTGGACCAAAGGCATTGAAAAACTACTAAAATGTTGGCAAAAGATAATAGATTTGAATGGTAATTACTACCTACACCAAAGGTACTGCTTTTATTTTTTTATAACTTTATTCAGAACATTTTTTGGTGAAAAATATTCCTTACAACCAGATAATTAAAGAAAAAGCATTGAAAAACTAAAGCAAACTAAAAGAAGGAAAAAGGTAATTCATGCTGAATCAACAGAATTGTTTGCAAATTAAGCATTTGTTAATAGTGTTTAAATTGATAAGGGAACTTTTTTTCTTTTTTTTTTTTTTTTGCACTGGACTTCTGAGAACAGGTAGTGTGAAAACAGAAATCCGGAAATGGCCTTCTAAAATTTGAAGTAAGGTAGTGTGAAGCATTCAGTCTAGTAAAATAAACTGTGCAGAAGATTTAAATAAATATCTTAAAAGAATTCTCATAGAATTGACTTTATTGAATTAATGATAATTTTTGTACATATTGTTATGAATTTTGTACATATGTAAATAATTTTAGTGAAGTTATATATGAAGTTGTAATATTTTTTTGTATAATGTAACGTACAAATCTAAAGAAGTAAAACTTTTTCGTAAACAGGGCCGGATAAATGACTGTCTTGCTAAATTGGTGAGAAATCGGCAAAAATCGCTAAACTTGGCAATATTTTGGTTCAGTCCCTGTACAACTGTAGATATTATATGTAGCTGTAACCGTATCTGGCGGCCCTCATATGTCTTCCAATAATTTCAAGAAGTGGAAGGTACTAAGAATCTTTCAGCGGTTGAGAGAAAATGATATAAGACCAGGGAGAGCATCAGTTTCTGAGTAATTGTTATTTCAGAACGACTTCGGAGTATTGAGATATCCGTGAGAGCTTCTCCTTTTAGATGCACTTTGCATTGCACTGTGTTTAACGTTCTTAGTAGCTTGAAGTGTAACTACTGATTGTACTCTGTGATACGTTGAAGATCTGTATGAGTACTTTTGTGGAGAGTTCCAGAACCGTGAAGTGTTTCTTTGATAAAAATAAATTTATCAAATTATCATCAGCTCTGTGAGCATTCAATATATTACACATCAGTTTTCCTACTGGAAAACATGCATCATATTCTCATTCTTTTAAGCAATTTTTTTTTGTGAGCCTGTCATTCAAGCAGCATTGTAGCTTATATGATGTCATAAAATTCAAACAAAATAAATTAACTATATAGTCATAAGAGTTTTTTGTAGATTCTATTGGCCTGTTATGTAACCTTGTAATTTCAGCGTCATTTATGCATTTTAAAAGGCTTCCTTTTAAGTCACTTTAGTAAATTTATTTTCGTCTTATAAAAATCTGTAAACATCATTATCCTAGGCTTTCTTTATCTATAGTTTTGTATTTTTTGCACTTATATTTTTCATCCTTTAAATAAGGAAAATCACTTCAAGATGAGTTAATTCTCTTTCCTTTTCAACTGCAGAGCTTTCAAACTTTATGCTCTCAGGGCTCAGTTTTTCCAGCTATGAATTAGTGTTAAATTTTTAATTTCATTGTTTTCAATCAAAAGCCAGTTTTTTAGTATTCTTATTGGTATTATTTTTTGGCATCATAAGCTTTTTTATTTTGAAATATTCATTTGCACTCGGGTTTTTAGAAACAGGGCATGGATAATCAGGGGATATTCTCCATGTAAATCAACAGAAGTCCCCGTACTGTAATTTTTTAGAATTTATAAGGAATTGCAATGAAGAATTTCTAAAAATAAATACTTCTCTCTCATTTTTTACATTTTATGTATCTTTCTTTTCTTAACTAAATTAATTTACTAAACTACTTTTGCTATTTTTGAAGGAAAATGTAAGAGGTGTTAAATGTGATGTTTGCAAGCAAGGAACATTTGGTTTGGCTGTAGATAATCCAAAAGGCTGTTATGAATGCTTTTGTTTTCTGCGCTCCACTACTTGTAAACAAGCTGAAATGGTTTGGGCACAGGTTAGTATTTAATTCTTGTGTAAACTGATTTAATTTCCTTCATGTGATTCTTTACTATTTTTATCTACTGCTATTTAAATATGTAGGAATGAATTTATTCAATAAATTTTATTTTTAAGATTTTATATTTAAAAATTTTCCAAGAATGCTCATTGATGTTAATATTTATTGGTATGTATTATCATTTAATCAGTCTGGATAAAAAATTAGATCCTTATAATAAATCATAATTAATATTTTACTGATGACTGTTGATAAGACTGATAGTAGCAGTTCATTTTGGCATTTGGGCTCTGTAAGTCTTAAAGATGATGACTGATTTGAAGCATTTTGCTATCAATTAGTGTGGAAGTTCAATCAAATTTCGAAATATGTGCGAAATGGCTTTTTTGACTTTTCATTTAGGAGATTGCATAGATTTTGTGTAGGACTTAAATTTGGGAACTTTGCTAACCAAGGAGTATTAAGTGCTCCTTGCCAATCTATGCAATCTCCTCATTTAGGAGATTGCATAGATTGGCAGTCTGATATACTTTGCAGTTATTATTTTAGAAAATTGTTTCACTTTGCAGTTATTATTTTAGAAAATTGTTTCCTTCACATTTAGGTTATCCATAAGTTGCTTGACAAAAGGCTGTCCATATTCATCCATTCATTCCATTATACCCCTACCTTTTTGTGTTCAGGTATTAACAGTGGTGTTTTCTGCTATACTTTTATAGCCTTAGCATGGAATTTCTTGCACAATATTCACTCTGAAATTAGAACATGTAGTCCAGCAGTGTTATTTTCAAGCCATTGGTTTCCTTTTATGAATGACAATCTATGACGATTTAGATCAGTGAACATTTTCTGAATTATAATTCACATAATAGTCTGATGTGGACTGTTTTTCCTTCCGTTGCCTGAAAGCATATTTCACAGTACTGTATTAAACATGAGTAATTTTAGTCACTTCTTGCATAATATGTTATTTTGAAACTGCTTTTTGGCAATCAGTAATTTTTTTAAGGTCCACCATGGAATATTAAAAATATATCTATTAAAAAATATGATTATCTACTACAGATGCATACTTCATGATCCACTTTTTCTTGATTGGCAGGTGTAATAATCTCTTATGGTTCAAAATGGAACCATTAAGAATGAAAAGTCTTTTTTTTTTTTGTCCTGTATGTGTATGTATCAGTAAATGTATATTAAAGCATTACTAAATCACAGCTTGGTGGCCTGACTAGGAATAAACATTTGAAAGAATTAAAATTTATTCCCGTATAATTTATCTCTATTACAGTGATGTAAAATTTAATTTCTCTGATACTTCAAAGTCAGTTTTTTTTAATAATTTGATTAAAAATTGTTTGAATAAATTATAAGCAGAAATACATTTTATACTAAAATGCTGTAGAATTCTAGTTAAGAATGCTACAGATATTGTAAGCATCAATTTATCAGGTATGGGCCTAGAAAAGTTGAGCCTGTTTGTAGAGACGTTAGGATTTTTTTTTAAAAGCCGAAGAGATGAAAAACAGCAACTGCCTTCACCAGGAATCGAACCACGGACCTCTGGAATATTGGTCCCAGTGTGCAGAACCATTAAACCACAAAGGCAGGAGAAATACCTTATATGTTTTTAATTTATACAGCTTTTCTTAATTTTTAAACTGGTTTAAATAATCTGAGAAGATAATATGGTAGCAAATCGCTATGTATACTTTTTATGATACGATTATAGTGTGATTTACTAATGAGGCCTGTTAAATCTTAATTTCTGTTTACTATTATCAAACCCGAAACCTTTTGTTTTTTAGGCAAGTATTTTAGCAGTTGGATTAAAAGTATGTTGTGTATCCGGATGTATTGTTATTTTTTAATGTTAATCTAAGTATGTTTTTTCTGCAAGCAATTGAGATTGCTGCTATATAGTAATAGTATGTATTATGGGAAGCTTTTATTTTAATTTAATTGAATGCATATGACTTGTAGATTAGTCTTCAACTTGCAGTCTACCAGTCTGTTCTTCTTTCACGCCTGCTAACCCTTCTTCCCCTTTTTTTGTCTTTTTAGCTTTATTATTAAGCATAATTTTCTTCGCAATTATGCAGCATACAGTTCAACAACATAATCACCAGGTTTTTAAAAGCTGCATAGCAGCATATGTTCTGAATTTTCGATGCTGTATTAAGTGTTGGCTCACATTTTTATACTTTTTCAGTCTTTATCAGTTCATCATATCACTATTCAGTTTTCTTAGTAAAATGGCTAATAATTTTTTTTCCTTTTTATTATTAGCTTTTTATGTGTTAACTTCATTTATTAAATATCACATTCTTTGCACTTATGCTGCATAAAACTGAGTTCAATAGCAAAATCAAAAAATATTTTGAATCATTAGACTTATATCATATCATTAGAATTATAATCATTAGAATTTCTGATAGAGTGTTAGAAGTTGCCATACATATTTTTGTATTTGCTATATTTTTTCTTTAAAAACTAGTGCTTTCATGGCCAGCAACCTACAATAGTTATCAATAAAAAGAAAAAGTATATAATGATTTTAATGAGTCCAGCTTGCAAAATTTCATAAAAGTATGGAGTATTTTTAACTAGACATTTCATGATTTTAATACATGTTTATTTAATTCAATCTCATTAAAAAGAAGACCAAAATATTCTTAAGAACTCTGTTTATTGATTTTAAATTGCTTTAGTTTATTACTCAGAAACCATTTAGATTAAATTTGAAAGCGTCTGAGGATTTTGCTGAATGGAAACATGCTGATGTGTGGAAAGTAAAAGTATTTTATTTCTGGCCGTGGTAACACATTGCTGTTGTAGAGCAGATTTGTTAATTAAAATTGAAAGATAAATATTTTAGGCAGTCTTGCTTCTGAAGATAAAGGTGATTTATTTCAAACAGTGTTGCTACTGCTTGCTTTCAAGTCACTGAGTTTGTTAATAAAGTATTTATTAAAATCAAAATCGTAAAAAACAACCTTATATTTAGCGTAGGTATAATGAAACACTCAATCGATTTCGAGGGCAGCTAAAGGTCCCTCCTCATCAGGAGAAAGAAATACATAGAAAGAAGAAAATAGGAATCACAGAAACACGTGGTGCTTATCAGCACTGCACGTGGTTATAACTAGATTTTTAATCAGAGTTGCACTGGCCGCCTACTTTTACTGAGCCAGGCTGTCTGATCAAGCATAAAGAAATATTAGCGAAGTTAAAATAGGGAGCGAGGGGCAAATGCACATTACGCTCAAAATCTGAACTTCAAATAATGGAAAGCAACCACTGAACGGATTTTTATACCCTCTGGTAGTACCAAGTGCGAGGAGGTAACGCCATCTATCGGCAAAAAATAATTGAATTAAGATAGTAATGCTTGATCAGACAGCCTGGCTCAGTAAAAGTAGGCGGCCAGTGCAACTCTGATTAAAAATCTAGTTATAACCACGTGCAGTGCTGATAAGCACCACGTGTTTCTGTGATTCCTATTTTCTTCTTTCTATGTATTTCTTTCTCCTGATGAGGAGGGACCTTTAGCTGCCCTCGAAATCGATTGAGTGTTTCATTATACCTATGCTAAATATAAGGTTGTTTTTTACGATTTTGATTGTCACATTAGCGTGTTTCTCTTCTAGTCTATTTATTAAAAGTTTTACAAAATATGAAATAAATGATTAACAAATTCAAATTTCAGGCTTTCAGATGCACATGTTTACTACTACATTATTCAAAATTCAGGACCACATTATTCAAAATTTGATGGCTCTAGGTATCATTGATTTTTCAGTATGCAAGGGACATACAAACACTGGTGTAAGAAATTAAGAGAATTTTCATATTTAATCTGTGATCTCCAGAACTACTTCACAGATTTTAATAAAATTTGGTGTGAACATAAGTTGATATAATACAAACAAAATAAACATTCAAAAGTTATAATAGACACACATGTTCGTTTGTAACATTCATGGGAGTCTGAAGGTCTAAAAGAGCAGTTGCAAAAGACACTAAAGAAATGGGTTAATATGGGGTATGACACCCTCTTACAGCCATACAGGCTTTGCAGCATGATGTCATGCTGGAAATAGCGTGATGTCATGCTGGAAATAAGGCAGTTTATCAGTGCCTTTGTACAGGCACTGATAAATCAATGGAACCAATTGACGGCAATTGGTCCCACTCATTCAGCATGGCTGTTTTCAGTTCCTAGATGGTTCTCCGAGTGGGATTGCGAGTTGCAATTGCCCTCCCCAGAGCATCCCACACATGTTATATAGGGTTGAGGTCTGGAGACCTGGCTGGCTAATCCATCCGGCGAATATCCACACTCTTGAGAAATTTGTCAACCAGAAGAGTTCTATGTGGCCTCACGTTATCATCCTGTACGACGAACTCGGGGACCACTGCACCTCGGAAAAGGCGAACATAGGGCTTCAAGACCTCATTCCTATATCTCACACCAATCACAGAGCCTCTGTCAAAGACCTGGACAGGTGTGCGGCCATCCAACATGATGCCTGCCCAGAACAATACACCGCCACTGCCATAATTGTTGATTTTGCGGACATTGGAGGGTAAGCAGCGGGTCCTTGGCTCTCTCCATATGAAAGTACAGCAAGAATCTGTGTTTAGGCTTAAGCGGGACTCTTCGGTAAACAGAACGGTCGCCCATGGCTCTGTACTCCAATCGCTATGCTGCTTGCACCATGCTAATCGGACTCTCCTGTCCATAGATGTGAGCGGAACGCAAACAGCCGGTCTTCTGGCAAACAACACTTCCTCACTCAGTCTGTTGGAAACAGTCACCCTTGTTATGCAGGTTCCTGTGGCTGCATACCAAGTCCTGAGAGACCTGAGAAGCTGTAGCCCCTCTGTTGCGGCTCGCTAAAAGGGACAAATCTCGATCTTCTCTGGCCGTCGTGACTCTTGGACAACCTTGTCCAGGCTTTCTCTCGATGGATCCAGTACCCTGGAACTCTTTTCATAGGTTACATAGGACACTGGGCGTTGAATTAAACTCTCTGCATATCTGGACTTGCGAATGGCCTGCCTCTAGCCTCCCCACAATTTGCCACCTCATTCCATCATCTAAACATTGGTGGTTACTCATTTTTACTGTACCGATGTGAATTTAACCTATTGCTGCAGGATAACACCAAGAAATTCGCCGAGGTGTGCTAGCGAACGCAATTCGTCTTATCCTCCAAGCGCTTATTTAAAGCCTGTTTTTCTGCTGGCTCCACTTACGTGTACGGTTACATATTTGCCTTACAAGATTTGCTTTTTTATCTAGAAGCAGTGCTTTTTCCTTCAGTTCAGTTCTTTTCATGCAATTTGATGAAATATGGAAATTCTCTTAATTTATTTTACCAGTGTACATGCATATTCTTCGTAAGTTAATTTTTAAAAATAATACAGGGTGATAATATTTGATGAAAACAATTTGAAAAATGATACACCATTTATAGTGAACTGATGCAAAACCCCATTTCAAGGCTGCTCCTTCTGGTCCAAAAAATCTTCTCTTATATATTCTAGGAATGGCGAATATAATAAGAAAATGAGGCAGGTGAGCAATATATGCCATTCTTTCTCTTGACTAACTAAGATTCCTTAATCTGCTTATCATTTTTAAACACATTCTGGCTGGGGGGTCGCACTGTCAGCAGTAAGAATGCATTAATTGACCTTGTATTGATGTTGGCTAGGATGATACTTTCAGTCCTTGAGTGGATGTGAAGGGGTACAGTACCAGTCTTATCTATTTCACCGCATGGTGCAATCTCTGTGGATCCTAAATTCTACTGCCTGATACCTCCTTAAATTGTAAAGATTTCACTGATCCTAAATTTTACTGCTCAGTGCCTTTTCCAGATTCTAAAGATTCAACTATCCCTAATTTTTACTGCTGGGTGCTCCTCTAAATTCTGAAATTTTTGCCTCCCCCCTCTTACATTCTGACACCAACTGAGCTCACACCAATTGCACCTGCTCTGGCACTGTGAGGAGGCAGTTAGCATTTTTCTATATAACCTAAACAATAAGGGGTTCCAATGTTGTCATGTCTGTATGCCATCTTACTAGATTTTAACTGATAATATAAAATCCAGAAATTTCCAAAATCTAAAATGGCTGAAATTCAGACATTTCGAAGTCTCAAAATTAGTACTGTCAAAAGAATAATTTCGGTTTTAACTTTGTTGAAGAAAATATATTTTGTTTTATGGAAAATATAATCCATAAAAAAGTGCAAAAAATAAAATTTGCTCACTTACATTAAGACTATTATATCCATGTTCCAAGAATGAATGTAGATAAGTGAAACTATAGGTAATAGCCAATGTTTCAAAATATAAGCTATTTGTTTAATGTGTATAAATATGATTAAATTTGATTAATCAGTTATTCAAATATAAATTTAGTTAATTAGTTTTGCAAATGCAATATTTCCAATTTTAAACAAAGTAGTAATAAAGTGTATCATATATTTCAGTGCATTATTTATTTAACTGTTAAATAAGAAAATCTGAAATTTATTGTTCCTGGTGTATACTCTTTCTTATCTTTCAAAGTAAAGGATTCTGACATTTTAAATTAAGCTGCAAAATACGAGTGGAAAAATGAAGGAATACATTTCTTGTGCTGTACAACATAACATACTTTTCAAAGGATGGTAGAAATAAGAACTGTCTATTTTCCTAGCACTAAGAGACTAGTAGTCTCCAAAGATTTAATTGTAATAATTTAAGTATTGTTAATTTTAATTCTGGATACCTTATTGTGGTAGATAAGAACTTTAGGAGAATTAAGTTAGCATGTTACTAATAAAAATAGACTGACTGCTGGAGGAAAGAATGAAAGAAGATTTAAAAAGGCAAAATATGGATATAAAAAGCTAAATCAAATTTTCTTTGGGAACTTACAGTGACTCAGAGGATTAGATCTCCGTATTCAACAATGAGCATTTATATTCTCCATATTTAGTTACATTGCTCTTGAATGAGCATGCATATTTGTAAATAGAGAGTATTTGGTTTATTTTAGCTGCTATGTTGCTGTTTTTACTTTACTTTAATTTTAAAATTTACAGCTTTCAAACTTTATCGTAAACTTTTTATTTTCCTCTTGCTCTTGGAAAAAAAAAGGGGGGGGGGAGAAGGAAAATCTCCTTTCTTCCACAATCACGATTCAGAGTGAAACTATGGAAATAAGGTTGCCATAGTACTGTAAATAGTGTCTAATCTCAAGGTAACCATTCACAATTGCATATGATTTTGGCTTTTGTTGATATGGTCATTTGAGAGAGCATGACTAACAGTGACTTTCAGTATCATTTAATCATGTTCTTAGAATTAAGAATCTCTTCCAGAGGTTGTGCGATGAGAATTTTTGCTTTATGTACACAGTGCTTGCACGCACACATGTGCCCTGGCACACACACACACACACACACACACACCAAAAGGTGGATTTAATTTTGCAGACTTTTTGGGGGGCTATTTTTAAATCTCAGTTAATTCATATAATTGGCTATGCCCAGTTTGTTTTTGGCAAATTTAGTTTATTTTTGTGTGTCAATTGTTTATTTAGCCCATTAATAATTTATTTAATGGAACTTGAAGAAGACTAGTTGTTCTATGTTTAGTAAATATATTTATTTTGTATAAAGATATCTTTTATAACACAGATGTAGTTGATAAAATTATACAACTTTATTTTGAAGTCTTTTCATTAGCACATAATTAATTTGCATTGATAAAAAAGTTTTTTTAGATTTTTTTTAATAAAAAACATATTGTTTTTGGCAAAAAAAAATAATAATTGACAATTTTTTGTAAAAAAACTGCATTTAATTTTTTTTTTTAAATTTTGTTATACATTTAGTTTACATCATTCACTAGTAAAGATTTTTAAATTTGTGGCTATAGTATATTTATTTCATAAGTGCAGTTGCTTTTCTTTTATATAAAAATGCCTCCTCGTAATTGTTGCAAAATTTATCAGATTTTGTTAGAATTTCATTTTACATTTTATGTAGTTTGTCAATTTGCAATGAAGTTAAAACTGAATACAGAAATATTTTTTTTTAATTATTCAGAATAAAGTTTTTGTTCTTGCATTATAATCATGGAATATTAAGTTAATGTACAAAACTCATGAATGATGTTATTGAAAAACATTTCGTTTTGAAAATGGAACTGTGTGAACATATACAAAATTAGTTTCCAGATACTATCACATTGATAAAATATTCTTTTTAGTCATATTGTACTTACTCGTTTTGGTTATATTGTTAAATTATTTGAAGACAAGAGTATATTGTAAAGAAAATTGTAACTTCTTTTTTATTTTATGTCTGCCAGATGTATTATCAGTTTTCCTTATGCATTAAACTAATGTTTAGATCACTACTCCACGCCGAGAAGTTCAATTTGAATTAGGAAATACTCCTCTTGGATTGTCATCACAGAAATTTCTACTCATTCCTGGACAAACTGGCAATGTAAAACTTGGAATACGTTTTGTATTACAAGAGCCTATATATTGGATGTTGCCGAAGGAGTTCTTAGGAGAAAAGGTTAATACAAAGATCTTCTTTAATTTGTAGCTTTTATGTTAACTTTTCTACTAATAGTTACACCACACTTATTTTTTGTAATTATTTTTTTGCATTTATTTTATACTTTTTTAATTGTTCTAGTCATTTTTTGCCTACTATTGCATTTTGCACTATTCTATATCTCATAATTGAATCGCTGATAATCAATACAAAATGATTAGTAAAAATACTATACATATTTGGGTAATATTGTTTTTATAGTGGTTATGAAAAAATGTCATACATCCTGCACACTGTAATATAATTTACTGCTTTGAGAGCTTTAGAAATTGATGATAAGATAAATACACTTGTGATTAGAAATGTGTGGAGCTAAATGTTTAAATAACCATTTTGGAATGAAATTCTTTAATTATTTTTAAATAACCACTTTTACAATGAGCTTCATAAAAAGGAGACCAAAGAGGAACATCAGACACTGTATACTGTTTGATAAGGGCAGTGCTGCAGCCTTGGTTAAGCAAGTGTATGGTAAGGATGCAATTCGCGAAAGCACATATCATTGGATCAGGGACAACAACAGAATCTGCCAAGATCATCTGTGGTATGGACTTCCATCATCATTTCGCTGAGAGGATCTTGACTAAGCCATAGCAGTCAGTCCGAATCCATCTGTAGAGGAATTGTTAGAAAACTTCCAAGTACACAGAGCAACAATGGAAAGAAGCCTTATAGCACTGAGTTTTACCATAAAGCTCGAACACTGAGTTTCACATAAGCTGAGTGTAATTCATTGAAAGGGGTGAGTCATGACATCTGTTCCCTTGCTTTCCTGGTACAAAAATGACCACTTCTTGACACAGACTGTCATAGGAGATGAGAAGAGGATCATGTACCAGAACATGAAATTTCACAGGACTGTGTGTCCCATTTCTGAACTGCCTTGATCAGCGTTCAAACAAGGACTTTATTCCAAAAATATGTTTTTGATTGTGAAAGGAATAATTCATTGGGAGGTCTTGGAACCTAATAAAACCATTCATGCTACCTTCAGCTGTCAACACTGGAGAGACTGCAAGAATCATTATGGTCGAAGCGGCCAAGCCTAATGAATCACTGAGAGTTTATCATCCAGCATGATTATGCTAAATCACACACTGATGTGATGACACATAAAAAATTACTAGACTTTGATTAGGAGGTTTTATAACACTTGCAATATTTCCATCTTGGCTTCCACAAACTTCCACTTTTTCCATGCTTTGCAAAACTCAATCACTGAGAAAACCTTTGATGATGATGGAGGCTTCAAAAATTGCCTTATGTGAGTTCTTCAAATACAAACCTGAGGCATGGAATTTGGTTTCTACCGGAAACATAATAAGAAGTCATTGACCATATGGTGACTATACACAATCCTAAATGAGTTCCAGTTTGTGTTGAACCTTTGCAGGTACCCAGTATATTACTAAAGTCTGAGTGCTTCAGTAGAAATGCTTTCCTTTTCTGATTGTAAATAAATTGCAGATTTTAATATTTTGATGTTTTCATGTTTGTGTGCTAGAAATTGCTTTTATTAACTATTAACATGCTTTCAGACCAGATCGTACAATGGTGTGCTGAAATTTCACATCGAGAGTCATCATTCTAGTCGGTATCCTGATCCATTGTTGTTCAAGTATCCTCTTATTCTTATTGAAGGCAATAATCGTAACATTGTCCATTCACCATTTCTTCCAGTTACTGGTGGAAAATATAGTATTCGTTTGCATGAGGTAAAATTTATGAAACATGTTTTGTATTTTTTTTACTTGTATTTTGTCTGTTTTGCTAATTAATCTTAATTCTTTTACCTACTATAACATGCAGTTTATTGTAAAATAATTTGAACTTTTACTGTACTATCATTTCATTTTGGGAAAATTCAGTTTATTATGTCCTAGAACAGGAGAAGTACAGAAATAAAGGTAAATTAGCTAGTTCATTATGTACTATAATAAGAAAAGTCTGTATGAAATTTTTTTAATGGGAAATAATTTCTCTGTAAGAAATTCTAACAAGAAAAGTGCCATAGAATTTTTGTGATGTAGAGAACAATTCGCAAAATGAATGCTGCTACTGAAAGGGCAAATACAATATAATATGTCTACCTATCAATCTCTCTATCCAGTGATATCTCTTTATTCACTTTAGTTTCTCACATGTGTGTGTATATAGGTACATGGTCCATACATACATACATACATACATACGTATATTATACATCAGTTCTTCCCATTTTATCTAAAACCTGTATCATATCTACAAGCTACCCTCAACAGTGCAATGAAACAGACATTCCCCAGAATTTTTATTTTGGGGATATCTGATTCTTTGATTTATGCAAAAATTAGATATTTGGAAAAATTGTATGATTTCAAAACTTCAAACAAAGCATTTTCAATTCAGTTTCAAAATGCCCCATGCAGCTAGATGGGATATGGCTTTTAACGAAACATCTTTCGACTGGGAACCCTTCAGTGGTAGGTGAATGAATGCTTATTTCTTGGAAACATTTTTCCCACTCTCACAAGTCATTAGATGCGATAACCGTATAAGAGTAATGCATTCCAAAAAATGTACTGTAGGCATGGGAAACTGCAGATAATGCTGAAGCCACATGTGGTGTGTAATGTAATACTTGAATAAAATGCCTGAATATTGTCAATTTTTTATGCTGATGATAAAGTACATTCAGTAAACAGTATCAGAATTAAAAATAAATAAATAGTTTTGTTGACTGCATTAACAGTGTACTTTCTTTCTTATACCATTAAAAGTAACAGACTGACTGAGATGTTTTAGCGTGTTTCTCTACAGATGATAAAGCAATGGAAAAAATTCCCAGCCATGAAATTAATTATATACCATTCCAGCTATATGTAGTTTCAAGGCATGAAAAAGTAACAAAAATCAAGCTTTCTATGAAAATATTGCATAAAGAATGGAACATTGATTGAAATCATGCATCTTTTTTATCAGGATTACTATGGAAAGGAAGTATTGAATGTGTTTGCACTGCTGATTTCACCGTATTATGTACAGTTAAAGTTTAGAGAGCACTTTATAATCAAAAACCATTCATTTTATGATTTTTTTATGTTACGATTGGGACTACAGTAAAGCAAATAAATGAGGTTGTGCATACAAGGCCACAACTGTTCATATATAGTATTATCCAAAGTAGTATTATGTATCTCCATACTTTTCATATACCTTCAAAAGAGATAATGAAATGCAAACAATTTTTCTTCAAACAATTATACAATTTCTTTTGAAACATCTGGAAACTTCATTCATTGCATTATATTAACTGTTGCACAATTTTGCAAATTTTTACATAAGCTAGGAAACCGTAAGACTGAAGTTGATACACTGTGGAGTTTGGTTAGAAATATTAAAAGGGAAAAAAAAGAAGTTTGTAGATGATGATGATAATAATAATAAGAATAATTTTATATAAGTAGGAAAAAATTGACAAAGAAAAGATAACTTTGTAAAAATGATGGTTTTATTTAAAACTAAATGAAAAACTGAAGTAAAATTTCTGATCTGGCTGCATAGTTATGAGAAAAAAGCGAGTATCCAAATAATGCTTGTATGCTAAGAACGAGGCTTAACAATAGTTGATGTTAAAGGTTGCATATCCAGGTAGAAATCACAGCTTTAAAAAAAATAAACAGCTAAGACAAAAATCCTCTTTAGCATGTAGAGAATTTGCAGAAGACTCGTCAAACAATTTTTTTTTTTTTTTTAAAATAATCAGACTTTTAGGTAATCTTTGTTTTTGTTTTTATATCTTGTAGAAATTATTTCCTAAATATCCCAAAATATTTTTGGTTACAAATTAAATCTCTTAAAAGGATGTCATTTTCTTCGTTATTTTTTATCTCTACCTCAAGTTCTGCTGCAGGAAACCATTCAAGCCTCTTCTCATCATGCCTGCTGTGGACTAAAGTCAAGGAACAGAAAAGTACTGCCTAAGCAGTAGAAATCCTGTCTTAACATAATTAGTTTCATACTAAGTTCATATTGCTTAGGTGTTTGCTATACTGATACTCAAATGTGAGACAAAGAAATGTAGAATAATAAATGTGCGACTAAGAAGGGAAGATTACAGCACAAACTGTGATCTTCAGCTTAAAATATGGAAGTGGGAATATGACATGGAGCTTCATTGTGGCTACTGATACATGCAAAAGCTTTCATTTGTGAAGTTTTAATTAACAAATGTATATAAATTAGTATATTAGTAAATTAGTAATTATATATAGTTAAATTAGTAAATTAGGATATATTTTAAGTATATAAATACTATTACAGATATTAGAACTGTAATTTTACAATGTTCAATGATATCAAATGAATGGTGTCTTCAACAAATAATGCACCATGCCATAAATTAAGGTTTTTGATGCTTTAGATTTAAAATAGCAAAATTGAATTCAGTCTTGTCATCCCATTTTCCAATATAATAGAGCATTTGCTGGACCTTTAAAGTTACAACAACCTTCGGTTACATCCTAAGAGAATCTTAAAACTTGTTCTGGAACAAGTATAAAATGGTATAAATGGGGAAAAGTGTTAATGGATAGTTTCCTAGGAAGAGCTGTTGTGATTCAGCCTGAAATTACATTAATCAAATACTAAAATATAGAATATTGTTTGTGTTTAATGGTAGTAAACATGGTTTTTATTTGCATCAAAATTGTTTGCAAATGTATTATTATGGGTTGCATAATATTTTTGGTCAAGGATATATATCTGTCTATCTGTTTTCATTTGTATGTATATGCTGTAGTATATTAATTTGCATTTTAATCTTTTTTAGTACCATAAGTGTATAAGGATAAAATATGACTTTTCTATTTTCTAACTTTCTTTTTATTTGAAGCATTATTATAACATGATCATATAATAATGTCGTTGAATTGTGAATGTGAAATAGACATTCATTTCAGTTTTGATAGCTAGTAGGCTACAGGCTACATGATTACTTAATGAAGGAAGAAATTGTAAAGTTGTTCTATTTCTCAATTGAGGAACATTTTTTATTGCTTTAATCTTTTATTGATTTGTTATAGTTTGTTAATAAAAGTTTTGTTTGAATACTACCAGATAAATGATTTTGTTTTAACTTTTGCTGATATATGAATAAGCTAATGTGTCAGGTTAATTTTGTTATCATATGATAATCATTACTTTGGAAATGGTGCACTTAAGAAAGATTTATTATATGTATTTTACTATTTTTTGGATTGAAAGAAATAACTGACAAATTAAAAAGGAGATATAGAAGCTGTTACAAATTAAAATATTGTCTTGTATATTATATTTATTACTTTGTGTTAGATTAAGATAAATACAGACATCTTATGGCTTTATGTATGACATGTTCATCATCCTAAGTTATTTATTTTAGCATTTTGGTAATACAAACTATAGTTTCCTAATATTTATGGATGATAATTTTGCTTTACCTGCTGATAAATGGACAGTCATTGAAAGCTGAAATTTTATCTCTGTGAATCTATCAGTATTAAATTCTATCAGTGTGTATCTTATGGAACTTTTATGTACTTTTTTATGCTTATTAGTATATTTGGTATGAGGTACTGTTTAATTCCTTTAAAGTTGCTTTTATAATATTTCATTTTTTTATTTTAGCAATGATTTTTTAAAATGTATATTTATTTTATTTTAAAATGTATATTAGCAAATGATGTACACTGCTCAAAAAAAAAAAAAAAAAAAAAAAAAAAAAATGGGACAGTCCTATATCACCCGATCTACTGGGCCGATTGACAAAATTCAAATTGCGTTCTTCATGTCTTGAAAGCACGACTTAGGATATATATTAGATTTATATATAGCACTATTCTAACATAGGTATTTTGACAAAAAATCGGACTTTTTCTGAAATAACATACCAATTTTTTTACATATTTCGATTCTATGACTCAAATTACGCCTAAATATGAAATTTTGTAAAATTTGGAGCGAAATTTACGGAGAAATTCGCAAATTTATGTTGGCACTTTTTTGTCAGTTTGCGCCAAGAATACTTCACTTGGCGAACTTCTTAATATATGGCAACCTAGTTTCCTTTCCCGTCAGAGGAAAAAAAGTCACCATCGTTCCTTTTTTCCAAATAATATTCTTTATATTATATTTTTAATTATAACTTATTATTTTAAGTAATTTTTTCTTTTTTTTTTTCGAATTTCGTTTTAATTGTTTAAGTTGCACGTTTTTTTTTTTTTTTTTTTTTTTTTTCTCGAATAACTGTTTTAAAAATTTCTATTTACCTATTCGAACTGCGTAAATAAAGGTGCAGCATTTATTTTTTTTCAAATAGTTTTCTTTATATATATTTTTCGTCAGAGTTATTATTTTAGGTAATTTTTAAATTTTTATACTTTTATTTTAATTGTTTGTGTTGCATTGTCTCTTCAGATAATTGTTTTAAAATTTTCTATTTATTTCTTCGAACTGAGCATTTTAAATATATTTATTAATATCAATTTTCCAGAATTTGATTTTATTTATTTGAACTCGTTTCTTTCGGAAGAATACTTTGTAACCCAGACTACGATGAGTTTGAAAACTGCATACTGTATTAAAAGTGAAAATACAGTAAAGCACAGTTTTACACGCCTTTCAATGTTCCGTTCAGAAAAGATATATAAAATAAGAGAGATGTATAACCGACATTTTAACTTAGGATGACTTGCATACACTGCTTTAAACAAACAGTTTTATCATTGTGCCCATTGCTTTACACAATTTTATCCTACATTTGGTTTCTTAAAATGTTATTCATATTTTAGTCAAATATTTTATTTTTGAAATCGCAAGAATCAAATATCATAACATTGAAAAGTTTTAAATAAAAAAAAATACAAAGACTAAATTTTACGAAAAAATTTATTTTTCTTCTCTTTTTCTTTAAGCATTCTGAAAGTATATAAAAAGTATCCAACTTTTCGAAACATTTTGGTATTTCTGACAATCATTTTAAATACAGTTATCGCCTTCCAAATTCATAAAGGCCCACAAACGGCCGAGCGGTAAAGACGCTGATCACTGGTAGTTCGGTCCGAGGTTCGAATCCCACGAACGGGCTGGTTGCATGGGTGTTTTCGTGGTTTTCCTGATGTGTAACGTGTATACAAGCCAGTTTCCCTTAGAAAGTCATCCACGAAGGCATACCTCCCTTTAGGCAGATAGCCCTAGTGTGCTTTGCCATAATTAAATAATCCAATCCAATCCAATCCAATCCATCCTTAGTTAAATATAATTGATTTGCAATTTCTACTAGAACTGACGTTAAGAATTGAAGTGCAAATAAATAATATCGTGTGCAATCTAGTTTCTAGTAGAAATATGTTAATCTAGTAGAAAGTTTTTTGAAATATTTGCAATTACTTTATAAGAAGGATTTATTAATAACCGTAATAATTACTTATTATATTACTGATGATTAGGAATCAGTTCTTGACAATTACATTCTAAATTAGAATTTTAAGAATTATTAGAATTTTAAATTAGAATAATGAAAATACGCTACGCACAAAAATACATTTTAGGATAAAAAATGAGTTGATTTTTTATGTTTTAAAACTTCTTCTTGAATTCATTTTAATAACATCGTATCCTCGTTGCTAATTGAATTCAGAATGTTTCGGTGTCGTTTATATAATTATTCTTACTTGTCCACAGAATCTGCTGACTTATCCAGCGATTAAGTAGCTGCAGATCATTTCTACATAACCATTGAACTTCCATTAATTCAGTCTCTAGAGGGTTGTATATTTATATCATAATTTGACTTTTATAAAAATGATCATTCTAAATCTTATGTTTCTCTAAAAATATACTGTGCTTTAAAAATATGGATGATAGTACCAGCCGCTCTTTCAGCCACTTCAAAAGCATCAGTTTGTTTAGAAATAAATTGTGCAGTTAATGTCATAAAATTCAAATAAACATCAAACGAAAATTCTCAGTTTTAGACAATTCGATTTAAACGAAGTAAAGTAGCAGACGATAAAACGCCGAAGGTAAAAATTTACTCTTATTTAAAAAAAAAAAAAAAAATTAAAAATTTATTTAAAAAAATAGTTTTTCATATAGTATTAATAAATATTTATTACGCATCATTGAGGGAAAAAATGTCATAATTAATTCTCCGTAAAATTTTACTTAAAATTTAAGGTTAAAAATAGCTGTGGCAGTGTAACAAAAATCCATAGACCACATTTGGCGTTATTATCGCTCAAAAAAAAAGATGCCAAATTTCAAAATGCGAAAATATGTAAATTTGTGTATATCTTAGAAAATTTTGAATAAAAAAGTCTAATTTTTTGCAGATATGCTTAAAAATATACCTACTTTAAGATGATGGTAAAAATTTTATAGGTTATAATAATTCAAATTTTTTTTTTCGAAAAATTTATGAAAATTATTTAAAAATAGAAATTTAAAAATAAAACTCAAAAAAGGGTAAATTTTATTTGGAATGAACCTAAATTTCGAAATGTGAGAGAAAAAATCAAAAAGTTTAATAAAAAAGAGATATAAATAAATATTTGCCAAATTCAATTAACATTGAGGAGCTAAAATTTTGAGAGCTAATATTTCAAAAACTACTCGTACGATTTTTACAAAACTTGGTATTCTGGCATAATTTGAGTCGTGGAATCGAAATATGTAAAAAAATTTGTACGTTATTTCAGAAAAAGTCCGATTTTGTGTCAAAATACCTATGTTAGAATAGTGCTATATATAAATCTAATATATATCCTTAGTCGCGCTTTCGAGACATGAAGAACACAATTTGAATTTTGTGAATCGCCCCAGTAGAATGGGAGATATAGCACTGTCCCATTTTTTTTTTTTTTGAGCAGTGTACATATATGGTGGACATCTATATGTTTACACATTGTGAAATACTTATGGGGAATATTTATATGCTTACACATTGTGAATTTTGTAGCGGATATTTATATGTTTACACATTGTGAAATACTGTTTTAGGATGAATGGTCACAGTTGGAAGTGCCTGAAATTCCTGTGACAAGAATGCTTATGATGTTTATTCTTCAGAATGTCCAACATATTTTTATCAGAGCAACTGAAGGTGCAGATGTAAAAATTGCAAGGTAAATTTTTTAACTATGTGATTAAAAAATAAGAATATTTTCAAATAATAGCTTTAAAAAAAGAACTGTTGCAAAATTGAAATTAAAAGAATGCAAAATATTGCATTCACTTTCAAAAAGATGTTTATATTCTATATACTTTGTGTTTCATAAGCTTATTAAAATTTGGGTTTTATGTTAGACATGAAAGAATTTGAGTAAGCTTCTGAAAAATGTATTTTTCATTTGGAGTAATTTTCTGTGAGATATTTTTGTATATTGAAGGAAATGGAGAAAATTATATCAACTGAAGGAATAGAAGTAGTGATTACGTGAATGAAATTTTGTTGAAGTTTTTATTTTTATGTAAAATAACTTTACTCTCTTGTTTCTTTTTTCCTTGTGCATTAATTCAGTGGACATTTGCTCAGGTATTTTAACATTTTGATTATACTTGAAATAGTTAAAAGTTTTCTAACATTAAATGTTCTTTATTTTATAAATTACTTTATTTATAGGCTGAGAGATGTAAGAATGGAAACAGCTGTGCCTATAACACCCAATCCAGTTTCACCATATGTTGCAGTTGGAATTGAAGTTTGTGATTGTCCCAAGGAGTATGGAGGTTTATCGTGTCAGGTGCATAAATTGTTTTATTTTTCATTTTGTACACAAAAAATCAGTTTTTGAAATTTATGTTTAGATTCATGAATTTCATTAAGTAACCAGAATTTTGTATTTATTCTGTGTTTTGTCATATCAGAATCAAACCTTTTGTTTTTGGTTTTTATAAGGAGTATAAAATTTTTCTCTCTAAAAGAACATATGAAAAGCTAGACTTCATATTTTGTACAAAATGAGTTTATTGTAATTATTTTTATTTAAAAGTACAAAAACATGAATCTTTGTGTAATTTAAAACATTTTTGTAAGTGTATGTCTACGGCCAACATTTGCAAAAATAGCGACTGGGTGAGGACTTTTATCGACATAGAGTATATATAATTTAGAATTTAAAAAAAATAGAAATAAATGTCATAGCTTTTGTAATTGTAATTGCTATTTGTTTTTGTATTCCCCTACCATGATTGAAATTTTTTTTGGACTTGAAGTGTTTTTTATTTATTTATGTAGTTATTTAACAGTAAAGATATAGGTTACTCAGCTGGCAAATTAATGGTCGAATTCCCTTTGTGGTTGTAGACTGCAATCTGGAAACTTCAGATTGCAAGTTTCTTTTATTATTAATTTTTTTTCAACTAATGTGTGATATATATTCAGTAAAATGAGACAGATATGTTTCTCTTTGAAGAAGGAAAACCTGAACCAAATTTGATGTGCACAGAGCTTTCCTACAAAATTAATGTTAATCTAAGATTAAACTTGATTTGATGGTTAATTATAACAGAGTATTTAGAATAGTACAGAAAAACTGTATATAATTATGATTATTCTATCATCATAAATTAAACCTAGGATGCAACTTTAGCCATTCAACTAACTTTGAGCAAAACAGTTGACCTTTGAATTACATGAACTTAAATTTCTCTATTTTTCTTAAATCTTTTTCAATGAATATAGATAATTTTTTTTAGCTTTAGAAAAGTTTGTAAAAACTAGCAGACAAACTAAAAGTCTAAAAATATCACTCCTTTCTTAAAACCAGGTAATTAAAAAACGTTATTATAAATTTATAAATATATGTAGGTAATAGTTATATTTTATCATATCTTATTATGAAATAAAGACAAATATCTTATGAAAACATTTACCATTTTCTGTCATATTAGGATGGAAATACTACACATATATCATAGTACCACTGGCAAGCAACAAAATGGAAATAAATGTGAAAATAAATCATAAAATTAAATTTTCTTTGGTATAGCACTGAAAACCATAAGTAACCCAGCAAGCTTTAAATAATGCAATAATTTACAAATAAAATGCATCCAATTATGCTGGAATTGCTTCTATAAGGCAGATCAAAACTCATGCCATTTGAAGAAAAAGTTGAATTCCATGACATATAGGGTAGATTTTTCAACTAGCTCTATTGTTACAAAATTTTTCATTTTTAATATCCTGAGCTAGTAGTAATACATAGGGTATGTGGATGAATTTAGTACAGTGTTTTAGATGTATTTTCTTTCCTTTATGATTTTATCTGTCTCAAAATTGTTTCCCCATATTTACTTGTAAAGAATTATTGTTTTTCCTCTTGTATGCTGTTGTAGTGTAGATGGTTAATACATCTAGAAGTTGGAAGATTTGTGGTTCAGGATTTGGTCACAGTTGATTTTTTATATTCACTATTTTTAAAAACCTGTAGTCCATACAATATCTAAATAAAAAATGTGGTTAACAATAATTTGTCAACAACTAGATTTGGTTGGTTAGGTTTTGTGTATCTGTCCATTCGTCTTTTAACTGATCAGGATCATGATCACATATATGTGATCAGACGATTCTCCCTTCATGGCCCATGCTATCATGTATGTAACCAGCCTTTCCAAGTCTTGAGGCCTATGATCCCACTGACTTGATTTCAAATCGGAAAGTTAAACAATACTAGATGGCAGTTGAAAAGTCCATTATAATTTTAATACTGTTCCACAGAGCGTTGACCTTTAACATGCACTTTTGGTGTGAGTTTTTCTATATTTTTGTTGGATCAGTGAGAATTTCAGTATGTAAACAACTGCACATGTTAAATTCTTTCAGGAGGATGCATGCTAATAGGACTTTATAAATGCGAGTAGTTCATTCATTTTATTATATTCAGAAAATTTGTTTGGACATATCATGTAGTTTTACTAGTAATTTGTTAAAATTTTTTAAAGGCCCATTTTCCCCCCACCAGTATAGATAAATAGCTTTTTTTTTATCAAAAATAAAGCTATTTTCTTTAAAATTAGTAATATTTTTTTTAATATCTTGGAAAATTTATTACAGTATATTCAGCTACTATTAATGATATTAAGCTGTAAATTTCAGCATGTTTTATTGCCATAATGATTTTAAATGAATTTTTAAATGAAATTAAACTTAACAGGGAATATCATTGGTCCTGTGTGTATATTTACTTTTGGAGTGCTTGGGCCTGTGGAAGCACTTTCTCCTTTCACCAGTCCTTAAATAAATAAGAAAGTAAGGAATTATCACATTCCTTTATGCATATTTTTGGGGTATAAGTGGTTAACACATCTAGCCAGCATTGAAAAGATACATAGTTTTAATCCCAGCAAGAGCACAGATTCACATTTTTTGCTACTAGAAACACAATAATCTGTAGAATTTATTAATAAAAATGTAGCATGCAAATATGTAGCAAATATAAACTTGCATAAAATTTAATGTACTGTTTATGTTTCTGTGATCATAAGGTTTCTGGTCAACAATGGGTTATTAATTTTTAAACAATTGAGAAAAAAGTAAGTGTATTTGGAAGTGCATTGGTGCATGGGGATGGTGCCTAATCTGCATACTTTAAGAGTGAATGCTACTGTTGGTTTTGGACTTTGTGAATTCTCATTATTAACTGGAAGAAATATTTGACAAGTTCTTGTAAATTGTTTGTGTAGATAATAATAGTATACATAGATTTTTTTTTGGCCATTTCAGGCATACTCTTACAATTATGTCTGATATAATAAAAATTCAGGACCATATATAGTTAATTATATAGTTATATAATATAAAATAGTTAATTATGTATGGATTAGTAATTAGGTACTTAAGGTAAAAAATATGTATTTAACTATTAGCACTTATGAATTTAAACTCTTACTCATTTAATTATTTAGCTCATTCAGTTATATTTCTCATAATTCGAAACTTTTATCATGTTATTCGATGAGGGGTAGGGCTATGGCATCCAGGCACCCTGGTGGTTAAGCACCACAGTTCAATAGGACCATATATGGCAAACTATATCATGTAAGCAAAGATCTTCATTTTATTTTAGTGAGAAATTATGATTTCTATTACTGAATTTTGACAGAACAATCTTATCACGTGACTGGAATCTATTGTTGATGGAATACAATGAGAAGGTATACAGCATTTACCTGCAGTATCTTGGAACTCATTTGTACTTTTGCTAGATAGAATCTTGCTAAAGATTCTTCAGTGATAATCTTATAATATTCATAATCATATATTTATAAGAATGTTTTGTGTTTTTTATTTCATTTTCAAAATCATCAGTTTTTCTGTGTAATTTAAAAATAGTTTACTGATTGATTTTCTTTTTCTTAGGATCCAGGCAAAGGTTATTATCGAAAACGAAAACTCAACTTTGAAAATAGTACTGATTTGTTAGATCAGATTGGTATTTCGGTTCCTTGTCCTTGCAATAACAGAAGTGAAGTGTGTGATCCTGAAACTGGTTATTGTCAGGTGAGATGTGCATTTTAAATTACTTTCTAATTGATAGCCTTGTAGGTATTTTAAGTGTAACGAACTAAGGCTTCAAGTAGGTCTATAATTTTCTTTTCTTCTTTTATCTTTTTCTCTCCAAGAATTGTAGAGAAAATACAGCTGGGGCATTTTGTGAATTGTGTGCCAAAGGGTTTTTTGGGGATCCATTTAAAGGTCCTTGTCGTCCTTGTGAATGCCCATTGGTTGATAACAGGTTTGAAATTTAATTGATTTTAAATGATAAGTAATTTTTATTTTAACATATATTGTAAATGTTATTTTTAAAGCAGATTATGTATTTTGTAAAGCATAGCAAGTTTTTAGGATTTTTTTCATTATAGGACAACACATGTGAAACTAATTTCTATAGAAAGATGTATGTATGCCAAAGTATGTTGTGGTACTAATTGAATTTTATATGATTCTCATTTATGAAAATTTATATTGAGGTACTGGAATTAAGCTCTAAATTCATTTCAGTAGATCGTAGCTGACATGTAGCTATTGGCCAGCTTTAAATTAAATGTACTCTTCTTGCTCTATTCATCACGTAACATGGCATCATTCATGTTTTCAATTTAAGTATTGTCAATAAGTTTTTTAAATGTTTATTTGCTTTAGTTTTTTGTTAATTGAAATATCTAACTCATGAGACATAGTTCTTAAATGAAGAAAGTTTTTACCATTAGGTTGTCCTGTTAAAAAGAAATATCTTGGAAAAACTGTTTTTGTTATCCTACAAAATACAAGTTTATATTAGTACGAGTTTTATATTAGTATTTATAATTTTATATTAGTATAATAGAATTATTCTTATTATATTTTTCATATAAATAAAATGCTTAATTTGTTTCAGATTTTAAATTAATCTAAAGGGGCCTTTTTTTAATGTGTAACCTTTATTTATTAAATATGATGTTCTTTGCACTTAAATCATAAAATTCAGTTCAATAGCAATGTCGCAAAATAATTTTAAAATGAGCATATCTTTAGATTTTCCGATACACAGTTCTGCACGCTGGAGATAAAAAAGTTTTTTTTCCCCTTTTACATAATGTCTGTAATAACTGATCATTCCCCCCCCTAAAGACTGTTCTGTCAAAATTGCTCACTTTGAAATCCTTGAGTTTGTTAATAAAAAATTCGTTAAAGTTTCACAAAATATGAAATCGATAATAAAACAAATTCCAAACTTCAAATTTGGTCTTCCACATGCTCATATTCGTAGGAGGATTACACCATTCAAAATTCGATGGCTCTATGTACCGTTGTTTTATCGCAATGCGAAAAATCTACATACATTTATGCAGATTTTTTATTATTTAATTTCTTCAAATATAATGCAGGACTCTAACATTTGGTGGCAACAGTTTGAAAAGTGAAACAGACATGTATAGTGATTCATCACAAAATGAAAACAATAGTCTTTCAGGGACAAAGCCCCTTTGGACTAATAAACCTGAGAGGTTTTACTGTACTCATTATTTTAGTATATAATATTTAGCTTTTGTTTAATTTAAAACATTGCTTTTTTTTAATCATTTCCTTTATATCTGCATTTATATTTTTTTTATTTGTCTGTTTATTTTCTGTTTACACTTTTTCTTAAGTAAATGTAAAGAAATTATAGTTGGAAAAATAGCTATTTTACATAATGTATCTTTTTTGTGAAATATTTTTTGCCACACAGGAATGGATCAGTCATGCAAATATAACACATATGTGCGAAAATATATAACATGTGCTTGTTTATAATATAACATAAATATAACAGTCTGACAAGTATATGTTCATAAGTGCATTTTTTTATTTTCCATTTAATTTTATGCTTTCAAGTAATTTGATTTTTTAATAAACGTAATAGTAGTTTAACAGAATTTTGTATTTTTATATGATGATTTATGTATACAGTGTTCTATATCTCTTTGTTATGCACTAAAACTAGAAATGTTTTACAGCTTTAGTGACAGTTGTGAAGGCAATATGTTAGATCATGTTTGTACTAACTGCCAAGTTGGTTATGAAGGTAAACATTGTGAAAGGTACACACAATTTTATATTTTCAAAATATTTGAATTTTTGAGTTGGCAAATAATAAAATCATATTTCTTACTAATAATGCTATTTAGGAGGGTTTAAGTTTTTGTGTATTTGAAGCTGTATCTTTAAGTGTAATTTAGTGAAGAAATTGTTTATTATTCTTTGATTTGCTGCTAAGAAGTTATTCAATATGAACGATGAATTTTGTTAAGTAAAAATTCATATATGTAAATTCTATGAGGTGTGCCCAAATGAAAAGGAGGCCTTAGCTTTAGCAGCATTGTATCGAATCCTAGTGAGTTAATGTGTTTTCCAATAGATGGCAAGGGGGTATGCCCAGTTAGTTGCACATGCATATTTAATGGCTTCACATCAATATCCTCATTTCTGGAGAGTTGTTTCCATTGCATGATCGATTCTTCCAGATCAGCACAAAGAGCAGTTATCCAACTTTTTCATGCTGAAGGTGAGAGCATGATTATTGCAGGATGAAAGATGTATACGGAGAGCAATGTTTCACATGGTGCACCATATTTGAGTGGTGTCAGCATTATGAGGTGAAACATGTAAACATTAAGGATTTAACATGTTCTAAGCAGGTGTCTTTCTGCCCAACTGTGCCCTGATTTCTGCTGTGGAGGAGCTCATTTGGCAGAATCATCATATCAAAACACGTGAAACTGCTGTTGAACTGTCAATAAGCAAAGGAACTGTGTATCACATAATCCACAAATGGCTTGCTTATGGCAAAATTTGTGCACAATGTGTGCCGAAGCATCTGTCAGAAAACCAGAACATGGTGAGAATGGGTGTTTGCCTGATTCATTTGTTAAGGTATGTGGAGAAAGGAATGAATTCTGTTGCTAAGATTGTGGCATGTGATGAAAGTTGGTGTCACCAGTTTGACCCTGCCTCCAAACAGATGAGCCTGCAGTGGCGGCATCTTTGCTCTCCTCATTCAAAAAAAGTCCACTCTGCTCAGAAGCCCCGAAAATTGATGCTCAGTTTCTTTTTTGATAAAGAAAGACCTCTACTCATTGACTGGATACAGTGGATTGCAACAGTTAACACTTTGCAGTATTGCACTGCGATGCTGAAGCTCAAATGAACAATCAAGAACAAGCACAAAGGCAAGCTCTCGGATAGTACTTCTGCAGGACTACGCGTGGCCTCATGTGGCTAAGAAGACTCTCGAGCTCCTTGAAAAATTCCAATGGGATGTTCTACAGCAGGGATGTCAAACTCATAGGTACACTTGGGCCAAACAAACAAGGTTTAACTTTAGACAGGCCGGGGGGGGGAATCAATATTCATAGAAACGTAGATTTATTTCGAATAATACAATAATAAACACATATATATATATTTATATAGAAAAGAACAAGAAAAATTTAATGTTTACGTCCTGATACTTGACATCTCTTCTCTGCTATTATCTTTCCTATTTCGGGAGAAATTTTGTTTACAGTGATAACTTTCAATGCTGACCCAAGGTGAGCATCATTAATACGGTTTCTAATAGGAGACTTATTACCTTTCATGACTGAAAATAACTGCTCGCACCAATAAGTGCTACCAAACATGGAAATAATTTCATATGCGAATTTTCGAGTATTTTGAAACCTGGCTGGTAAATATTTGTAAAATTCAGGCATGCCCACTTCAATGAATTTTGCTTTTAAATTTGAGTTGCATTGAATCTCGATCACCTCCATTTGCATATGGCTGGGTACTGAGTCAATACTTATTGAGAAAAATCGAAGAAAAAAAAAAAAAAAAATTGTCTTCGAGGAAACTAAAATCATTAAACCTCGTTTCAAATTCAGTTGTTAAATTTGCAATTTTTTCTGCGTATTTTTGATATGAACAAGTATCATCTAAACTTGATTTGTTCATGTTGCACATCGGGAAGTGCGTCAAATCTTTCTTTTTAAGTTGTTTTTCCCAAAGAACTAGTTGACATTTGAATGCTTTAATTTTGTCAAACATGTTCGTAATGATATGATCTTTTCCTTGTAACGATAAATTTAAATCGGTTAAGTGTTTGGTTATATCAACCAAGAAAGATAAATCTTGTATCCATATTGGATCAAACCTGAATATTCACTATCTACACTTAAGAAAGCAGTGAATTGACGCTGATTTAAACCTCGAGATCTTTTAAATTTATAACTTTTTTTATATATGACAAAACATTCTCCAAATTTATTACTTTCATGCATAGAACTTCTTGATGTATAATACAATGCATATGATGAATGTTTGAACCGTTTTCTTAGTAATGCTACGAAGCCCTTGTTTTTCCCGGTCATTGATGGAGCGCCATCTGTAGCTACAGAATTTAATTTTGCCAAAGGTAGATTGTATTTCTGCAGAATCCCAAAAACACAAGTAAATATAACTTCTCCTGTGGTAGTACCAGGCATCGGTATTAGTTCCACTAATTCCTCAAAAATGTTAAAATTCTTGTCACAAGAATGAAGAAACACTGCTAATTGAGCTTTACCACTAATGTCTGTGCTCTCGTCACAGGCAATGGAGAAACTTTCGAAACTAGATGATTTTGCTTTGATCTGATCACTTAAATTCGCAGCTAAATCAGTAACTCTTTCCGCAACTGTATTTCGAGACAATGAAATTGATTGAAAAGCCTTCACATTTCCAGGATGAATCACCGTCAGTAAAAGGCTTCGAATGTTTAGCTATCAACTCGGACAAGACGTAGCTTGCATGTACCGCCGCTTCACTTTCTTGCAATACTTTACTAAACATGGACTGTTGCTTTTTCACTCCTAACTTGAGCTCTTTCAAACTTTTCTTCTCTCTCATTAATCCTTCGTAATTGTTATATTTCGATTTGTGTTGTTCGTAATGACGTTTAATATTATATAACTTTGATATGTTAATAGTATTATTACATATCAAGCAGATTATTTTATCTTTTATTTCACAGCAAAAATATTCTAATTCCCATTTTACTTGGAATGTTCTATGTTCATCAGCGATTTTTCGTTTAATTTTACTACCACTTGGTTTTGATATAGACATACTGAATACAAAGGGCTGGAATAAACACGGTTAACGTTAAAAAGTTAACAAAAACTTATTCTTTCCACAAGAGATAAATCAAAATGCTGAAATATTTCTTCAAAAATATTCTAACAATATCACAAAATGTCAAATGTTTAGCAAAAATCAATTCAAAACAGAGAAACTTAATTCTATCTCACAGCGAAATCGCTAGAAATCAATCACAGCATTAAGTAAACAAACAGTTCGCTAGAACTACAGCTACTACTGAGATGAGTTGTTTGTTCTCGGCTTTTATAAGCTTTATATTTAATTTCTCGAATATACTGGATAAATATCTGGATTTTTGTGGATGGCAACAACAATTGCGAGATATTTATTTATTAGGTATTAAATGCATGCGCTGTTCTATTTTTAACCTTTCAACGCAGCTGTCTTTTCAAAAATCGTCTGCGTTCCTAAGGCAACATGAGGCAAATCTAATTACAATTCTAAATAAAAAAAACTAACTAAATAAATAACTATGAAATCCATAACAATAATGAATTAAGTAATAATTAATAATAAAGCAAAGTGCATGCACATGCATGCACCAATATATCGTACAAAGCTATGATTGGAAAACTGAGACCATGAGTTCGACCACATTTGGCTATTGGGGGATGCGTACAAGTTCTGAGTGCACGTGTCTCCCAAAAGCCGAAGGTAGCTGAACGCAAGCTACTCACACGCATTTGTAATTTAAGTAGTGTGTGTGTAAGCTCACTGTGAGTAATCTAACAACACTGAATAAATTATCCTTAATTACTTAGCAGTAAACATTTCATTTTTTTCTTCATCGATATGCTATTTTATTATTATATATTATTATTTGCTGATATATTGGCCGGGTTGCAAAAATATTTGTTGTGGTCCTTATGCGGCCTGGGCCGCGAGTTTGACATCCTTGTTCTACAGCATCCTTCTTAAAGCCCTGATATCTTCCCATGTGATTTCCATACGTTCGACCCCTTAAAAAATCTCTGAAAGTTTAGAGGCTCATCTGCTACTAGAAAGTGCAGGACACCATAGAAAATCGGAAAATTCATCAGCAACCTGAGTTTCTACGCTAAAGCCATCCACTCCCTTCTTTTATAGTTTTGGTGTTCCATCTGAACTGTAATTACAATATTGTTAACATTTCTTTACATATAATTGTAGTCTTCTTTTCATTTGGGAATGCTTTATATGTTTAATTAATGTGATAGCTTTGCCATTTTCTAATAAATTTTTCAGATGCTCTCGAGAATTTTATGGTACTCCTGCAGCACCAGGTGGGAGTTGTAAACCGTGTAACTGCAACAAGTATGGATCATTCAATTACACATGTGATCGTATGACTGGACAGTGTCATTGCAGAAGAGGAATAACTGGAAGAGATTGTACTCAGTGTAAAGCTCGTCACATACTCACTCAGACTGGTTGCAAATGTATGTAAGACAAGAAAACTTGTATTTTTGAAAATGCCATTCATAATATATAAAGGAATATGGGAATTATAAGATCAGCTTCATATTTTAATTAAATTTTGATAATGTAATTTTACTCTTCTCTGAAACTGTAAGTTGCATTTTGAATTTAAACTACTACGGGGTTCGTAGCCGTCCTTACAAGTGCTTATAAGTCCTTATATTTGAAAATAAAATATAAAGGCCCTTATTAGGTGCTTACTTTTTCTTTAAAGCCCTTGTGCTTATTTTTTGCTTTTAGTGCTTTTTTTTAATGAATGCACATTTTTCCTCCGTACCAAAGCCGAAACTAAATAAAACACTTTTTCATCCTATACGGAACGTCAGATGGTGAATCATACTCCAAAGTAGCTTTTTCCCCCTTTCTCTGATTAACGTAACCTATGGTGCGCGGGATATACAGTTGCACGTCGTTCTTTGTTCAAGAATTGCAAAAACCATAGAAAATTCCGGTAGCATTCGGTATTCTTTTCCGCCCAC